TGTCCAGAGCCTAACTACTATTTATCTGGGCTGTCTTTAGCCCTCGTTAATAGCCATTCCTTGCCCACTTCTGTGTCTGATCCACTCCTTGTAACAAAATCTTATGTAATGCACTAACTTAAGTGACCAAAAACATCCAACAGTCAAAAAAGGCATTTAAAAATAGAGTAAGAGGGGTGGGTACAATGAGACATTTTCGTTGATGTATGCATTCTCTAAACGCTCAAAGTAAGGTCATCAGTATACCTGTCATATGCATCATTTCTGAATTGAGTCTGTCTTTGCAGTGAGAACTTCCAGAATCTTCTATTGTGAGTGTTTTGAGATATAGAATATGATATTGTTGTTCACGGTCAGCTCACTGTAGAAACAAACACAAACATTTTCCCACTGATTTACCCATTTTCCCCTCTTTATGGCCCTTTACTCCAGCCTCTGGTAGCCATTAGTCTACTTTTCACTGACCATGAGATCAGTTTCTATGCTTAGATTACACATACGAGTAAGATTATTGCTTTCAATGTAAAACTACAACTTTCACTTCAAAAGGGATAAAAGAGAGTTTATTTTGTAGCCAAGCATTAGTGATCAATACTGAGAGCACAGATCCAGGTTACCCCAAATTCCACATTCCAACAAGAAAACCATTTGGTGAAGCTTTTATAGTAATGGAACAAGGAACCCTTAAATAAGGCACTTTCCAAATACATTGGTGGAAACATCAGGGAGGTGGGTTGAAGCAAAGCTGGACTATCTCTACTGCAGCTCCCAGTGGTCATCTGGTGACACACTGGCCTTTTGGCTGCTGTACGTTTTTGGTCACTTAAGTTAATTTAGAAACAGCTGGCTTCTTGGACAGTTACCCAAAGTATTGATGAGGCCAGCAGGCCTTCTTTTCATCCCGCCCAACTAGCTCAGTCGGTAGAGCATGAGACTCTTAATTTCAGGGTCGTGGGTTCAAGCCCCACGTTGGGCACCATTTGTAGAAGGAGCAGCGGGCTGCATTCCTGCCACCCCAGCTCCCAGCTGACTGGCTAGCTTATACTCCAAAATAACAACACACAAATTGTATTCTTTTAAACACTGCTTGGCCCCTTAGCTCTAGCCTCTTCTTGGCTAATTCTCACATCTTGCTTAATCCATTTCTAATAATCTGTGTAGCACCATGAAGTGGTGGCTTACCAGGAAAGATTCAGCATGTCTGACCTGGGGTGGCTGGCTTCATCGCGTCTGACCTCACTTCCCTTCTTCCCAGCATTCTATTCTGTCTACTCCACCCACCTATGTTCTGACCTATCAGGCCAAGCAGTTTCTTTATTAATTAACCAATGAAAGCAACAGATAAACAAATGACCTTCCCACATCAGATGATCAACATCATTAGTCAATATGGAAATGAATCACAACCATGACACACCATTTCTGGTTCACCAGGATGCCTGCCACTAGTAGGAAATTTAGTACAGTGTCAGAAAACAGTGTCTGTTAGCACGTGGGTGTGTTTCATAGATGCATATTCTGAAATAGTCTAAGAACTTCTTAGTAGATGTCAGTGAATTCAAATATCTAACAAACTATTATCTATTTGATGAGTGTTTAAACATACTGTGTTATACTTATTTCTGGCTATGTGAGTTGAATGTTTAGTTGTAAAGAACAGTGTTTTAATAAGGGGAACAAATATATACCATAGATCTGTGGTGAAACACATGACATATTTAACATATGTCCACCTCAAGTGCTGCTTTTGAGGATACAAGGTGGCTCAGTCACTTTTTAAAAAAAGTTTTCATTTCCTGAAGGGCTAATACAGAGTTAGGGCATAAGCCAGTGATTTCATTCCTAGAAAGTTTGTAATGAATGGACTATGCCTTATTAGATGGAAATGGGTCTTTGAGGGAGGGTAGGATGCTATCTGTGATTTTAAAGAGACATGCTGGGATGTCAAGATGACAAGGAGTGAACTTGTGGTGGTTAATGTGCACTGTCAACCTGATTGGACTTAGAATCACATCGAACACACACCAGTGGGCATGGATAAGAGAGCATTTCCAGAGAGGTTTAAGTGAGGCAGCCACCATGAGTGTGGACAACACCTTTCTGTGGGCTGGGACCCCGGACTGAATAGAAAGGACAAAGGAGAAAACAAGCTGAGCACCAGCTTTCATCCCTGCATCCTGACTGTGGATACAGTGTTACCAGTCACATCATACTCCTGACTGTGGATACAGTGTTACCAGTCACTTCACACTCCTGCTGCCACGCTCTCCCTTCCATGATGGACTGTATCCCTCCAAACAGTAGAGTATAGTTGAAATTGAGGACATAATTCTAAGATAAATAAGAGAAAGATACTAGATGGCTCTGTGTATGAGATTTCTCACTAAATTCTTAAAATGAAGTAGGGTGGTGGTTGTCTGGGGCTGGGAAGAGCTAGGAGAACTTTTTGAGGACTCTTTTGTAAAAGCATTGGTCCCAAGGGTGAGTCCTCCACCCTCATGATCTGATCACTTCCCAAAAGCCCAAGCTCCTAGTAGTACCTGTCTTCCTCTGTCCTCTCCCCACAGACTAATTTATAAAGGTAGGAAATTGAACTTTCATTGTTCAAGAAACTAGAAGTCCAGTATGTAGGTGCTAGGATCTGATGAGAGCCTTCCTACTGCAACACGACCTGCCAGAAGCCATCACATGACAAGTGAGAACAAAGGAGAAGTGGTTTACATAACAAAGCTGCTACTGTGAAACTAATCTGCTTTCCTGGTAATAATATAAACCCCTTTGTGAGGATGGAGCCTTCCTGTGTAATCCTGCCCTAAAGGCCCTACCTCTTAATGACTTAAATGTCAACTCAATGTCAGCATGAGTTTTGGAGGAGATTTAAACTGTGACACCACTGCACTAAAATCAGGTTTGGAAATACAAATACTCATTTTAGTACATACCCAGTCAATAGTGTAGTGCCTAGAATTATACAAGGAACTCTCAAAATGAAAATAATCCAGCTGCAAAATGGAGAAAGGACATGACCAGTCATTTCCGCGAAGAGCAAATTTAGTTGGGCGATGGAGTGGCAGCTCAAGCCGTTAAGAGCACTTGTTCCTGCAGAGGACAGGTTCAGCTCCCAGCATCCACATAGCAGAACCACATGGGACTCCAGTTCCCGGAAATTCAGCACACTCCTCTGGTCAACAGGTACCAGGCACACGAGGGGCACATACAGACCTGCAGGCAAACCATACACATAAATCAACATTAAAAAAAAGAAGAAAAAGCAATGTCATTTGATGTCAAATAAACATATAAAGAAGTTTCAGCGTCACGGTCTAGTTAAAAACTAACAAATTAAACTAAAATGAAATATAAGCACAGCCTTGTAAGAATGGTCAGAGTTTTAAAGAGAGACGAATCCTACTGAGGGTGGAGCGAAACTGAACAGTGTTACTAGCAGAAAAGAAAACCTGCTACAGTTGTGAAAAACAGTGTGGATATTTGTGTAGTTGAGGGTGGATGTGTGTGTGTGTGTGTGTGTGTGTGTGTGTGTGTGTGTGTGTGTTTGTTCTTCCTCAGGAATCATGCACCTTGTTTTTGAGACAGGGGCTGTCTCTGGCCTGGACCTCACCAAATGGGATAGAGTAGCTGACTCAGAGATGAAGGGACACTGGCCCACTCGAACATGTGGCTGTGGCAGGCCTTGCCCTTCTGCCCTATTCCCTCTGCCTTGCTAAAAATTGTTAGATTACATTCCTAAAGCTAGTCACCAGGGTCTATTACCTTATTTGACTACTTCCTCCTCCTGTGGCTGTTGAACTCCAGCAATCAAAAGTTCCTTTTGGTACGCCTAATTAACATGCCCAATTAAAAACACCTCATCCAAACAAGGAACTTCCCTCTTGACCTTTATAAACCGCCTTCACTGTGTGCCACGTTTGACTCCTCTCTATCCTGAGGCAGTCCTTTGTCCCTCGGGAACAAATGTCCCTTCCCCCTTTTCCCTATTACCACCACATCCCAGCCCAATTTAACACAATCCTCCCCTTTTCCTCCTCTTAAAAATTACACCTGTGAGGTCAGTAGCGCTGTTTTCTGCCCCAGTCAGAAAGCAGCCACTTTAACTTTTCTTCCCTGCTAAATAAAGGATCTCCCCCTGAAAACAGGTGTTTGGGTGTGGTTTGTACCTAATCTGGTGTTGGGAGGAAGCCCCTCCCAACAAGATAATTGTTTGCTCCACCTCCCCATACAAGAATCGCTTTTTTTTTTTTTTTTTTTCCTTATAAGGTGCTGGGGATTGAACTCCGGTCTTCTTTACTGACTGAGCTCTCTCCAGGCCCAATTTAGTTCTCTCCCACTTTAAAAAAAATAATAAAACTGCTGTACCAATGGCACGTCTGGACAAGTATCACAAAGTGTAAAGCGGTGTGCATATCAAACGTGGCATCTAAACCTTCACGGCAGCATTTTGACCGTATTTCACCAGGACAACAACCAGACATACCCACACTATGAAATAACGACTCCTCATCTTGCCCTGAGGAACAAACTACGTAGATTTCTATGGGCTAGTTTTAATAATGCTGAATGACTGGGTTCCTTGTTTCTAAAGGGGAAGGGTGTATTTCCCTCTTGTTTTAATTTTTTCTTTTTTGTGTGTTTTTATTTTGAGACAAGGTCTCACTGTGTATCCTAGTCTGGCTTGGAACTGGCCATGTAGAGCAGGCTAGCCTAGAACTCAGAAGATGAGCTTCTCTGCCTCTCAGATGGGATTAAATTAGGAGGTGTCACCCACCTCCCCCGGCCTAATTTCGTTCATCTCAATAACCCTGTGCACAGCCGACCATCAAGAACAAAGGCCACGAACTAATTCTTTCAACACAAAGTCTACTGAGCGAAGGTGTTCGAGTCTCAGGGCTCTGAGCCTCTGACTTCACGTCCTGGTTCAGGGACAACGCAGACCCTGGAGGAGGCGACGCACAACTTCCCGCGGCCCCGCCCCGCGGTGGCGTGACGTCACTAGTCCGCGCCGCCGCACTTTTTGACGCGACTGTGACCCGCCTGCCGGAAGCCGGGTGACTGACCATGGCGACGGTGGCGGAGCAGTGGGTGCTGGTGGAGATGGTGCAGGCGCTGTACGAGGTGCGTCGGTAGCCAGAACTACCCCTGAACCCGCGGCCTGGGTCTAGCGACCCGCGGCCCGGATCCACGGTGCTTCCTGCTCCCGGGGAGCGCAGGGGAGAGAGCCTCGGCTGCCCTCGCCTCCTGGAGTCACGCACGAAAGCAGCTCTTGGGAGGGGTGCCGAGGACACACGAGTCCTCAGAACCACAGTTGGACCTGATGGCCAGACGGGGTTTGTGGGAGTGGGCGATCTAGGTGGGAGGAATGCCCTATCATAAATTACAAACTTTGCCCAGGGCGGGGGAGAGTGGTTTACAAGGCGGAATAATTGGGAATTTATGAGCATGGAGTAGACATTCTTTTGCCCACAGTTTCTATATTATGCATATATAACGTTTTGAAGGATATTTAAAAGAATAGTTAAAGGGTTTGGTGGTTTCATTCAGCCATGTAAAAAAAATGGATAATACAAATGCCAGTCTTGGGAGGACGCTGGTTTCTTGAACAACTGAGCTTCCCTGCTATGTCCTATAGAACTTGTGTGTCTTCTGTCTCAGGGCCTCTTCAACACGGCCTTCTCTAACTTCACGTGATAATAGGCACTGGCAACGCGTTTGTAATACCACTTTAATGTGAATGTCGGTGACCATATATGACTAGTGACTATGTATGTATTAGACCAGACGAATCTGAAGCCCGGAGACCAAGCTGTTTGAGCCAGCAGATAAATCCCGGTGCATAGAGAGCTCACATTAGTTGGAAGTGAATTTCACTTTATTTGATAATGTTATCCAAAGTTGCTTCTTCTGAGGAATGACCATGCTCCATTGCAAGAACTATCTGGAATTTCTCTTCCTTCCTTCCCGTCCTCCACTCCCATCCCTCTATGCCGCCTTCCCTCCCTTCTTCCTTTCATTTCTTTGTTTCTTTTGCTATTTCTAGACAGGGTTTTTCTATATAGCCCTGGCTGCCCTGGAACTCACTTGGTAGACCAGGCTGCCCTGGCCTCCCAAGTGCTGGGATTAAGTACACGGCATCAAACTCAGATTACTGGGAATTTCTTCATAAAAATTATTTGAGACAGAAGGTACTTGATTTTCCTAATCTATACTGAGGTCCAATATTAGGCTATTATAGCTACTGAGTCACTATAATTTTTATTTTTTTTTAAGAAATGAGTAATTTTCTGTTGTACAGTGTGACTTCTTACTCCCCAAAAGGGACCAACACAGACTTCGGAAAATTCTTTGTGTGTCACATTTCCTAGATAGAGAGAAAAAAATAAAACTGGTATTTATGATTATTTGAATAATTTTTTAGACTATTAGTTTTTCATCTTAGGGTAATTTATCTGTGGGGTTTGTTAGCTGAAGAGATGCTTGCCTGCTATCATCCAGTTATTGAGAAAATCAAGGTTATCTGGACTTACTCTTAAGTTAATTATGTTTAAGAAGGGTCAGTAAAAGTTTTAGGTCATCTTAAGTAGAGATTTCTATTCTTGTTCTCAGTTTCTGTGTATTTTGTAGAATTTGAGGCTTGTAAAGTATATCTGAAAAATAAAGATCCATGTGCACATGTGTATATGCGTGTCATCTATGTAGTTTTAAAGGTACTTTCACATTGACGGGAAAGTTCACATGAGAACTGTCAGCAGCTTTCCAGTCTGTGGTCTGGTGTGGCTTTTGTTTGCTCCTTTGTTTTTAGCTATGGTGAAATGTCATCCCGTATTTCTGCCTCAGTGCTGGTCTATTCTGTATTTAAGTTTGTAAGTACATGGCTGTATTTTGAGATAATGTCTCACTCTGTAGCCTGGGTTCTCCTTGAACTTCAGATGCTCCTAGTATTTCAAGCACACACCATCATGCCTAACTTTTAAAGGCCTGGGTTTACCAGGTATGGTGGCTCATACTTTTACTCCTTGCATTCCTGGTCTATATAACGAGTTCCAGGCTAGCTATGGCTCCGTAGTGAGACCTCTCTCCAAAACAAAACAAAAGGCTTGTTTTGTTTCTTTTTTTGTGTGGTAGTTTATTTGAAATAGGGTGCAGCTATGTAGACCATCCTGGCCTTAAAGTCAAAAGATCTGCCTGCTCGTGCTTCCCATGTACTGGGATTACAGGTGTGCACCATCACACCCAGATTAACATGCCTGTTTTAAATGATTTTTCTGATGGTAACCCACTGGAATAGAGAATCCAGCCAGTAACTGAAGGGTTATAGGTGTCTAGATTCTTCTACATAAACTCATCCATGCCTTTATTCTGAAACTATGTAGAGGACAAGATAGTAGACTAACCAAGATTCCATCTTACTATGCTGGCTCCACACTCTGGGAGAGGGTCTGGATTCAATTCCCAGCGTCTACATGGTGGCTCACAGCCATTTGTTACCAGTTCTAGAGGAATCTTCTGATCTCTGCAGGTGCCAGGAACACATGTGGTAAACAGACATGTGCAGACAGAATACCTATACACATAAAATAATAAAATATTTTAATAAAAATAAAGATATCTTTGTGTCTATCATCATGAAACAGGTTGACATCCTTTGGGTCCCATGATAGAAAAGAGAGCCACTTTCCTTTAAGCATTTATTACTGCCACCCCCACCCATCCACGCTGCATTGTCTAAGGTCTAAGGAGATTTAGCAGCAGGGTATGGAAAATACAGTAAGATGTGCAAAACTTTAAGAGTTATGGAAGCTGGTTTGCACGTAGTTTTATTAGCTTTTCCATGGTGGGTACAGGTGTGTTTAGGTGTGTGCAGTTTCCTTATACACATTTCTTGCCAGTAAAAGTGTAAATTATCTGAAAGATATGATAGAGTTGTTTTAACTGTTGGGGTTGTCAGGTCTTACCTCTTTCTCTTTTTCACTACTGAAAGGTTTTAAAGCTGAAGTACTAGGGGTTTCATGTGATGGAGTAACTGTCGGTTGTTAAGGTGGGAAAGGCATGAAGAGCCCTTAAGGAAGCCCTGGCAGTGAGGTGTATGCAGTAATAGTGCAACCCTCAGGAGAGGCAGCACTGTGGTGGACTGAATTTCTCTACAGCCTTTGAAGTGACTACTTTCCTTCTTTGCTTTTCTCCCTCGTAGGCTCCAGCATACCATCTCATTCTGGAAGGAATTCTAATACTTTGGATAATCAGACTGGTTTTCTCTAAAACCTATAAGTTGCAGGAGCGTTCTGACCTTACAGCTAAGGTAAGAAATGAAGCCTGGGGGCTGGAGAGATGGCTCGGTGGTTAAGAACATTTCCTGCTCTTCCAAAGGTCCTGAGTTCAATTCCCAGCAACCACATGGTGGCTCACAACCATCTGTAATGAGATCTGATGCCCTCTTCTGGCCAGCAGGCATACACACAGACAGAATATTATATACATAATAAATAAATATTTAAGGCCGGGCGGTGGTGGCGCATGCCTTTAATCCCAGCACTTGGGAGGCAGAGGCAGGCGGATCTCTGTGAGTTCGAGACCAGCCTGGTCTACAAGAGCTAGTTCCAGGACAGGCTCCAAAACCACAGAGAAACCCTGTCTCGAAAAACCAAAATAAATAAATAAATATTTAAAAAAAATAAATGAAGCTTGTTTTATTCAAGGTATGTGGCAGCTATATCATCTTTCTAAAGCAGAATGAAACTTGACTCTAGTGGATGTTAAAACGTTGACTATAAGAAGAGCAGGCAGTAAGGAACATCAGAGTAGATGAAGTTTGAGGAAAGAGGCATAAAGCCTCACTGGAGGAGACTGCAGCCTGCTGGGAGATGGCTTGAGGGGCGCATGTGCAGCTCCTGGACTCCAATGTCTACACACAGGTTATGTGAGCTGTCCTTGAGGCCAAGAGGAGAGTCCTCCATGTGGTCTTCAGAAAGGGGATTCAGAGTTGGAAATACCCACATCCCAATTAGGATTTTTTGTGTTATGTGTGGTAAGATGGAAGAAATCCTAAACAGAAATGAGATTTTTAAGTTGTCAAGTTACTCAAAAACTGCATGAGAAAGGGGATGAGCTGTAATAAGGAAAGAAGTAAGAGTGGGACGTACCCTGAACACAACAAGGATGGCCTATGCTCTCCACAGCAGCTGGGCTGGCAGGGGTGTTTTTGTGGCACGCTGTTCATTGTTGCAATGTTGCAGTTTGGCATCACCAGAGCCAGTGTGAGGTGACTCGTGCTGAGCCACTCACACTCTCACGCCTCTTTTTCTGTAGGAAAAGGAAGAACTGATTGAAGAGTGGCAGCCAGAACCTCTCGTCCCTCCTGTCTCAAAACACCATCCTGCTCTCAACTACAACATCGTTTCCGGGTGACTTGCTTGGCCTTGCTGCTTGGAGTGATTGACCTGGCTTTGGTTCTGTTGCCAAGCGTGTGAAGGGTGGTCTTCACCCTTATTAGATGAAGACAATTTTCTTCAAGGGGTGGCCTGGGGAATCTTTTAAACTCTAATTTGGGAATTGAAGATTATCTTTTTGTTTTCCTTAAAACACATTCTCTTTCTCCCCTAACTCGTACTCTGTTGTTTCTTGATTCCCCTTGTTCTTCTGAGGTTTTGTTTTGTTTTGTTTTGTTTTGTTTTGATTGGTGATGGAACTAAAGACTGACTATAAATACAGCAGATCTCAATGTCCCCAGGACTCCAGCATTCACTGTCTGGTCTCTGCACAGATTAGGAAAAGGTGGTCTAGAGCAAGTCCAGTGGCCTGCTGTGGTCCTCTACTGTCTCAGCACCTGGGGTACCTGCAGGAAGAGCCTGAAGCTTAGCCGTACACATCTCAGCTGTGTGCACTGTCCTGGTCCTCCATTCCCTGTTAACTGCAGCATGGCGTGTCTGTAGATTGTGCTCTGCTTCAGTTTTCTGTCTCTGGCCATATTGCCACTAAAGAAGCCCATGCTGAGTGACTACTTTATCATACACTTCTCTTTGTTTTCCTAGCGTTGACGTCATCCTTGGTTTACTTTTGGGCTCGACATCTGCATTCCATCTGTGTCTTCCTCCAGAACTGTACATCTCCATTGTTCAGTCATGCCATCCGTTAGGTTTCTTTTCTTTTTTCTTCTAGAACTCCCTGTCCTGCTCCTGCTGCTCAGAGAAGCCTTATAATTTTGTCTGTTGGCTTGAAAACATTGGCCCCTTCTTTTCCCCTTCCTCCACCCATTCCTCTCCCTCTGTCTGTCTCTCTCCCAGAGTGGGTAAGCAGGTAAGGCACACACATCCAGTGCTGACATATGTGGATATTTGGAAGTCAGCGGTCGAGTCTTTTCCTGCTGCTCTTGCCTTACTCCCTTGAGACAAGTCTCCTGCCTGAAAAGCTGTCACTGATGTTTGGCTAGGCTGCCTGACCCAGAGATCTTCCTGTCTGAACAGCCCAGCACTGCACTGGGATTATAGGCACTTGACTGTTCCAGGCCTTTCTTTAATTTTCTCCTTCATGCCATTGGAGTACAGACAGCCTCCTGAGAGTCTGGACTATGTCTTGTGCTTATCAGTTTGTGTTATTTCACACTCATGTTCTCTACTGATCCCCACTATCTATCATTTTTTTTCCCAACCGTTTTTATCAAAATCAAGTGCATTATGTACATTGCTTATAAAAGCTACAAGAGGCCAGGCCTCTTGGCATAGGAATTCCAGCAATACAAGAGACTTGAGTCGGGTTCAAGCCCTGCCTGGGCTACAGAGTGACTTCAAAGCCTGTCTCCATAAATTACTTTTTTAAAAAATAATAATAACAAATAAACTGAGATTGTAGCTCAGTGGTAGAGAACTAGGAAGAGGCAACACAGTAGTTAGTTTTTAATTTTTTCAGTTTGATTAGTTTTCTCTCTGTGTGTGTACATGTTTGTGTGTTCATGTGTGTGATAAAGAGAGAGAAAGAGAGAGAGAATATACAGAAGTGTTTGTATGTGTGGGGGCCTGTGGTGGCCAGAAAAGGTTGTTGGGTCCCTTGGAGCTAAAGTGGCAGGCATTTGTAAGCTGCCCAATATGGATGCTGGGATCTGGACTCTGGTCACCACTGAGCCATCTCCCCAACCAAACACACTGGTGATTCTACCAGTTTTTGTGGTGGTGGGAATGGAACCTGGACCTTGTATGCTAGACAGCATTGTACACTGAACTATGACCCTGTCATGAGGCTGTTTCTCATGATGTTGAGAAACTATGTTTTGCTGCTGTTGATGTAATGCCTGTTTGCTTACATACTAATTTGGCATGAAAGTGTTTAGTTTTATTCTTTAAAATCAAGCTTTACTGAACATCCACATAGCACAAAATTCATTGTTTTAAACTATTCAGCTAAAATAAGTGTTATTGTATTTACAGAGGTGTGCCACTATCACCGTTTTCTAATTCTAGAACATCTTCTTTCCTCCTCAAGTCAATCCCAAGCTTTTCCCTCCTGCCCCACTTGCTGCCCAGGCCCTGACAGTATTTATCTACCCTATGAGCAGACTGGACTTTGTAGGTATTTCATAGGAACGAAAGTGTGCAAAGTGTGATGCTTTGTGTGTAGCTCATCTGCTGAGCTTAGTGACTTCAGTGACTTACATCCATGCTATAGCAGCTGGCAGTATGCGTCTCCTTCCCTTAGATGACTGAGACTCTTCTTTATTTGCTTCTGTCTGTTTTAGAGTATCTTTTAAGTTCCCTGGCATCTGGAATTCTGTGACGCATGCCTTTAATTCCAGCATTCAGGAGGCAGAGACAGGTGGATCTCTGTGAGTTTGAGGACAGCCTGGTCTATAGAACGAATTTCAGGGCAGCTAGGACTACACAAACGCTGTCTCAAAAAACCAAAAAATAAAAGAAAAAGAATCTGGAATTCACCTTTACATATCACGTATCAACTTTGTCACTAGGAAATACTGGTACGTGCCCTAATTACTATGGGTCACATATTCTACTTTGGGGTTGTCAGCATGTCAGGTTCTCATCAGTGTCTCTGCCTGCCTGTATTTTATTACACATTGTATGTCATTTCCACCAACAGTTCCAATAGTTTCATGAGTAGGGAGTCTACACGTGATGTGATCCTGGGCCTTGTAGGTGATGGTGTGACTGATTTTGTTAATCTAAGTGAAGTCATTGCACACACTGTTGTCTTTTGTGATAAGCTGGGCAGTAAGAAAGTATGATGCAACTTTGGTTTCTGTTCTCAAAGACAATGCCTTCATTGTCCTCTGTGTTATCTACATAATTTATATAGTCTTATCAATTTGTATATCCTTCTTATCTTAAGAGTTTAAATACCCACACTGAACTTTATCCAGGGTCATTTCTTCAACAGTGTTCTTTAAATTGAGTTCTACCAGGGATTTGCCTTCTTTTTGCATTTTTAAGATTGACCAACTTAGTTGAACTCCGTTCTAAGCATTTACTTTTTCTAGTGAGGATTCAGTCTTTTTTCTGATACCTTAGGAGCAGACATTCAGATTTGTAGATTTTGAAAAATATTGTATCTACTTCTCACATAAATGAGCATTGTCCTGTGGCCTGGGAAAGGCGCAAGCACTGCCACCTCCTCTCTGCTTGGGATGGGTTTGCACCTGAAGAGTTTTCTTACTTTAAAGCTTTAGAAAGTGTAGACAAGGGGTAATGATCTCTGCAGAGGAGTGTAAGTTCTTCCTAAGATCTGTCCAGCTACAGCCCCTACTTTTACTATGTGCTGTTAAAAGAGTTTGACACTTTAAACAATATTTCCATTTGAAGTGTGCATGCATCCACTGCATGCCACAGCATGCCTGCGGAGCCGAGAGGACAGCTTTCAGAAGTCGGTCTCGGGGATCGACTCAGGCCGTCGGGCTTTGTGGTGAGCACCTCGACCACTGAGCAGTCACCAGCTCTTAGCACTTGCCTTTGATATCTGAATGCTCTCAATTTTTTATTTTGATTTTTAAAAAGATTTCTCTTCCCTTTTAAACCAAGAACGTTGCTTTCTTTGGACTGTCTGTCTTTAGTGCTTTGTGATTGATTGCTTTCTTGTTGGAAAGTGTGTTCCTTTCTGAACAGTTCCTGTGTCCTTGCTGAGATTTGCTTTGTGTCTTTTAGGTTTTGCCCATATTAGAGTACACAGTGTTGCTGGGTGTGGTAGCTCACAGCTGTAGACAGTCATACCACTTGGAAGGCAGAGACAGGGGGAGTTCAGGAACTGAAGGGCAACCTGGGCCACATAGTAAGTTTGAGGCCATCATGAGAAAGTGAGGCCCAGTGAAAATACCAGTGTTTTATAATACTAAATATTATGACATGTATTTTTAGTATTTTTTAATAAAGCAAATGTTTTATTTATTTCAGGGTGTCTTACATCCATTGCATCGTGCATTTTATTGTTGCTAAGACATTGCATCTCAGACATTTTTCTGTCTGCTTGACTGCCGGATGAGTGACAGAGCAGAGATGACTACCTCCCTGCCACCTGCTACATGGGTCTTATTTTGTTTTGTTTTTTCTCCACTCTATTTTTCTGGACTGTCTGGTCACGGGACTTAACTTTTCTGCTACTCTCCACGTCCTTCTGTGCTCCTTCATCTTTCTGTAGGCTCTTTTTTGCTTTGCTTTGTTTTCTTTAGACAGGGTCTCTCTGTGTAGTGCTGAAAGACCTGGAATTCACTAAACCAGGCTAACCTCGGATTCACGACGCTCCTCCTGCCTCTGCCTCTCTGAGTCTTCTCTCATTTTGTATGTTAGTACTGTGAGTTGATTTCAGGTAGTCTCTTCTCTGGCTTTCTAGAATTCTGTACCTCTTTTCTCATGAGTTATCAGTTCTGTTACAAATAAATAAGTAGTGTCTGAGAGCAGTGTGCAGTCCTTTCTGGCTCCACAGACAGGCGTCAGCAGTGTCACTGAAGCTACAGTTCCAGGCACGATCCCCCTCCTCGCTTGGCCCATGCTTTGATGGCCTCTGTCTGTTCTGTCATGTTGTGCTGTCTCCTTACGTCAGCAAAGAGCTGGCTTTCCCACAACTCCCTACCATCTTACTCTTTTTTAAGTACAGGGAACTTATTAAAGAACAGAGCTAATAGGAAGATGTTTGACTTTAAATTTACCATTCCCTAATTTATGAAAAAGTACAAAGGAAAGGGATGGAGGGCAGATAGAGTGGTCTGACTGCATAGCTGTGCTGTGCCTGTCCTCCTGTGCCCAGATGGGTGCTGAAGTAAACCCCCCTCTCTCTCTTTCCCCAGCCCTCCAACCCACAACATTGTGGTCAATGGAAAAGAATGTGTAAACTTTGCGTCCTTTAATTTTCTTGGGTTGCTGGCCAACCCTCGGGTTAAGGTGAGTAGCGCTTGATACTGAAGTGGGACAGGACCTTGCTAGCTGCAGAAATGACATAAAAGTCAGGTGGGATCATCTGAGAGGGACAGTTTCATACTACGGGATCTGACAGAATCAAAATCTGGACTTGAACCATCCAGGGCAGATGTGTCGGGTGGGCTCAGTGTGGGTGACACCCAGAGAACCTAGGAAGCCCGACCCGGGCAGTAGTGAGAGAGCATCCACAAGTTTCCCAGCTCCTGTTAGGACTGGGACTTGCAGATCCTCAGGAGAAACTAGTGGTCTTTGGGCTTTTAGAGGTAGGCAATGTCACCTCTCCGTGCTTCAGTCCTGTGTCTCCCTAATCTGTTTCCTAAACCCCATTAGAACTGCTGTAGTTACAAGAAAGGGGGGAAGGTAGGAAAGGGCCCAAGAGTGGGAAGTATTGCCTGAGATTGTTGGAATTATAGATAAAGGGAAGAAAGGAAAGTTGGGGGCGGGGGAGGGTCGTCAGGACCACACAGAAGAAATCATTAGCACATTTGCTTCCATAAAGGCCGCAGCTTTAGCGTCTTTAAAGAAGTACGGCGTGGGTACCTGTGGACCACGAGGATTTTATGGCACGTTTGGTAAGTCACATTCTTTTTCAGACCCCATTGAAAGATCAGTTTGCATTTGCAGCTCCTTAGGAAGCATTCTTAATCCTCAAGCTGAGTGCGTGCGTTTTCTTGATTTTCAGTTAGTTGTGTTTGGGAACGTGGTAGAAGCTATAGGGAAAGAGCTGTCGGGCCTGAGGATGTGCCCTGAGAGGGTGTGCTGCCGGAGTCCTGATGCCTAGGGCTAGGGGAGACTGTTTTACACATTGTTCTGTGCTCTAATTTTTGTTTGCTTTTTCAATTTTTTTAGTTAAAAATTTTTATGCAGTATATTTGATCATGTTCTGTCCCCCAACTCCTCCCAGATCCTACCCAAGTTTATGTTTATTTTCTCTCTCAAAAGGGGGAAAAGGAAAGCCAAAAAGAAATGCCCAAACAAAGCAAAACAAAATAACAAAGCCCACCGCTTCCCTGACCCCCTCCAAAAAAAACCCCAGAATTTGTTTTTGCGCACCAGTTATGCCTGAGTATGGGACCTGTCCCGGAGTGTAGTCTACAGACTCAGTGACTGTCCAATGCACTTTCCCTTTGCCAAGCAGGTGTCGGTCGCCAATAGCTTCATAGTTGGTGTGGGCTGTGCTTTCATGTGGATGTGAATGTGTCTGAGTTTCTGTGATGCTTGGAACAAACTACAGCCTTGTGCTCTAAGCACACACTTCTCCCCTGAGCTGTACCCCATCCCCCAAATGAGTGTATTTTAGATTTAAATTGGATTTGATTGTTTGGGTTTCTGAATGGCCACCCGCAGCAGATAGTGAATATACAGTTTATAAATACTTGCAAGCAAGCAACTCCCACCTGTCCTAAAACCACAACTGAAGGCTCATGTGACGCAGGGCAGCTATGTAATGGTACTGGTTGGTTCATTCCTTGTTCAGTTGTTTCCTCTGTGTGTGTACATGCAGTCTTTGTTCTTTCTTTTTCTGTTTTCTAGCAACTTTTTTTTCCTGGTTCGTTGGTTGGTTTCTCTCACCTCATTCTGTTTTTTTTTTTTAAACTTTCTTTTTGAATTATTCTTTGTGTCTTTCTCATCATGCGTCTCCATCTGATTCATTTCCCTGTTCCTTTGTCTCTGCCCTCTAGCCTTGAAACCTTCCCTCACCCCCAAAATAAAATTTAAGAGGAAAAAAAAGAAAAAAAGAAAGAAAAAAGCCTCATCATGGAAGCTGCAGTGTGACACAGTTGAGTCACACAGTAAACACTTTTGTCCATACATCTTTACTTGCATGTATTTGCTGCAGAGTCATTGGTCTGGTTCGAGGCCCCTGATTTCTGTTACACTATCGATGTTGGCCCTCACTGGAACTCCTCTTGGTTATCCTGTTGTTGCCCTGTGTTGTGGAATCCTGCAGCTTTGGGTCTGCAGGACTGGTCCCTTCACATGCTCCAGCAGATCACAGATGGGGTGAATGTTGAGATGGGCCAACTCGTAACCCTGGTTCTGGGCCTTGGTAGTTGCAGAGTTGGTTCAGCCAGCCAGCTCTCCTCGTACTCCCCACCAGGATGAGCCCTCCTGGCTAGTTAACCTCCTACAGCAAAGAGAACGGGCGTGACCAGTTCTCCTGCTTTCACATCCTCAGGGCCAGCTCTCACACCTGCCCCAGGTTTTGTGTGTAGGGAAGGGCGGCTCTTTCCCACCCGTGCTGCCACATGGCAGGCGAGTGATCTCTTCCCTTATTCTGAAAGAATTATATGAATAGTTATAGTGACCTGCTTTAGAATTTTAGCATTTAGTAAAATCAGAGGAAACTACTTGGGTCATCTCAGACTGAATTTCAGACCTCTGCAATAGCCCTGCAGTTGAATCACCCTGAGGGTGCAAGCACATGGCTGGCACCCTTTGCACTGAGCCCTATAGCAGATGTGGGGAGCCTCCTCTTCTCTATACTTTCCCTACGCCCACAAAGGTTGCTCTTAATTTGATACTTTCCCCTCTTTGGTGATCATTTGGGCATCTGTCTTCAGTGATCTCTGCCTTGTAGATCATCTCTTAACACATCTTTTGACTTCCATTTTGAAGTCAAGACATTTTTAAATTTTGGTTTAAACCAGAACCATTCACAATCGTTGTCTCTCAGCAGTTGTTGTTTGTTATCAGTAATCAAAAACTCCAAAGACAACACAATAACACATGGTTTCCAGACTCCTGTGCAGTTTCCATTTTTATCTGGCTTTTTTTTCTCTGTAATTACTTTACTCCTTTCTTAAGGAGTTTGTTTTCTATGACTGTCTATGTCTTTTTTCTCTGCAAAGCCTCTGTACCTTTTTAAACACACTGTGACCGTTTAGAGGTTTCTTTTGTCTGGATCTGTCTTTTTTGAGCATCTGTATTGTTTTCTGATCATGAGATGAATCTTGAACTGCTGTGTCAGCCCCCGGTGGGACTAGGCTTAGTGCATGGTGCCAGTGCAAGGGGGCCAATGGCTGACTCCATCCCACAGGCAGCTGCTGGGAAAGTTGTCTCTGTACTGCAGCTGCCTTGACACTGTGAGATTAGAAAGCCACATTTGGCTCATTTTTGTGTGTTTGGAACCTTTTTTAAGCTTTCTCTGGTTTAATGTGGAAATTTGTGTTCTACTTGTAGGCCAAGTTTTTTGTTGGGACTGCCAGCTCCCCCCAATAACCACACAGAGACTTATTACTTATAAATGCCCGGTTGATGGCTTAGAGTTGTTGCTAACTAGCTCTTTCAGTTTAAACTAACCCATATTTATTATGTACACTCTGCCATGCTCAAATATCTTCCCAGGCCTGCAAGATGGCTCAGTGGGTAAGGGCACGGGCTGCCCAGCCCCAAGGCCTGAGGTAGAGCCCTAGAACATACATGGTAGAAAGAGAGAGCTTACTCTTTTAAGTCATCTTCTGACCATGAACATGCACCATGGTACACCTGTACCCCCCCCACACACATGCAAAATAACTTTATTTGCTTTTTAATGCTCTTTTTTTTATCATTTGTCATAACATATCTGTTAGATGATTAATACAGACAGACAGTGGAGCAGTGATTAAGCTAAAGTTTGTCTGTTTTTAGAATAAATGTGGCCTTCCTCCCAGAAGACAGGCAGAGGGAACTTAACACTGAGTTCTTGCAGTGGCCAGCTCACAACACATATGTTTACAGATCATACAAGATATCTGCTACTTTGTACAGCTATGTATGTTGTTAATTGTGGCTTACAAGTAAATAGAAAGTCATGACTGGACTCTTTCCCTCCTGCTTACTTATGGTTTAGAGCTCAGAACCTCGTCTCCCTCTGGGGTAGTCAGGTCCTGTGTGTTCAGGAGGGTGGGCTGTGACTATTTGTTCCAGTGCTTTCCTGTTTGGGTACACAGAAGCTGGAACTTACACGTAATCCACACTGGCTTCTTGGTCTTGCCCTGACCAAAAGGCATCGTTATGTGGCGTGCTCAGCAGTGAACATTCCGTGCCTTCCTTCATCCGTTCCTTTCTTTGTGTGAGACTAGTCAACTGGGCTGCGGCTGGGGCCTGGAAGATCACACACTCTTCTGACTCCTAGATCGGCTGCTGCTTTACTTCATTCATACGACTGTGGTTTTGTAGGTGTAGGGAGCAGTCCTCAGGCTTGTAGCTTAGAGCATCTCAGTTAAGAATCCCACGGTGTCCTGGATGTGAAACATTCTTCATGACATTTGAATACAGAAGTGCTGCTGTTTTTACTTTTAGAAAAATTGTGCATGCGTTCATGTGTGCACATGTGTGTTGCTGTGGCTTAAACTCCAGGACCTTGCACATACCGGGCATGCGCTGTATCAGTGAACACTATACCCACCCTTTTCTGTAGTTTTATTTTGAGGCAGGTCTTACTAAGTTGTTCAAGTTGGCCTTAATTTGAGGTTTCTTACCTCTGTCTGCTAAGTGGACAAGCTAATATCTTCTCCTTCTCAGGAGTTTTCACTTGTTTGTTTATGTTTGGGCAGGGGTGTGTGCCACACCCTATAGGAGGTTAAGAAGCACCTGCAGGAGTCAGTTCTGCCCTGCCATCATGTACATCCTGGGGCTCAGACTCAGGTCATCCAGCCAGCAGCAGGTGGGTGGCACCTTTACCTGCGGAGCTTTCTCGGGTGCCCTGGAGTATGTTTTTAAGAATAGTAGTTATTAGGATGGACAGTGGTGGCGCACACCTTTAATCGCAGCACTCAGGAGGCAGAGGCAGGTGGATCTTTGTGAGTTCAAAGTGAACCTGGTCTACAGAGCCAGTTCCCAGATAGCTAGGGGGAAAACAAAAACACAGGGAAAAGAATAGTATTTACACAAAAATAAAAAGTTATTAACAGAAAATATGGCAAATTGAATTTGAACTATTGTGAAGTTGGTTGCTCTCTAGTCTTTCCTTTGGAAAACAACCACGGGGGTTGCTGTTTTCTCACTGTAAATGAGGCTGGACAAGTGACCCTACAGAAGATAAACTTAAACTGCTATCAATTCACGTGACTTTGTTGGAAAATAAGGGATAACCAGACTTTTCTGAAGTAAACGCTTTTTCCTAGACTTTGGTGCTCAGCACTGTTCTGAGTGTTTTATTCATGCTAAATGATTGTCCTCCCAGAAGTCCCCTGAGGAAGGCGTGGCTCTTACTCATGTTTGTCAGCAGAGACATTGCAGGTGTGGAACAGTCTCAGCGTTGTCTGAATGTACACCCAATGATGAGTGCCCAGCCTGAACCTCCCAGGGTCTTGGTTGCATCATGAGCTCTTTGGATAGCTCAGTAGTTGGACCTTCTGTCCCGGTTTCTCGGAGGGCTGGAGTACCCTGAAGCATCAGAATCTTTAGGGATTGGGGGCACAGACCTCCCAGTGCTGGTCTCTTCTCTGCTGATAAGAGTTAGAAACTGTAGTGCTTGGGTATACATAGTTGGGGCCTCACTGGCCTGGGTGGATCTGCACTCAGAAGTCAGTGCCATCAGTAGTACAGAAATGCCCTTGGTGGTTTTTCCTGCTGCCTCCCTCCCTTGGGTGGGGAGGAGTTCACCCACAGGCTTACATCAAGGGAAACAAGTTCTGTACTTACCCCTGTTGACCCATCACAGAACCTGCTCTGCTGGACTGACACCAGCCAAAATCTGTGTTGTCAGATAGAAGGAAAGACTGCGGTTTCTGAAACTTTGGGAACTAAACAAGTCATCAATTTATTACTCGGGTTCTCTATCCCAGAGTGTATAAGTGTTTACTCATGTAATCCATTTGATTACGGTTTCCCATCCCATGTGGATCCACTCCCTTTCTGTCTCCCATGGGAAAACAAACAGACTCCAGACAATATGACACTTTAACCGTAATATTCAGGAGGCAAAGACAGGTAGATCTGTGAGTATGAGGCCAGCCTGGTTACAGAATAAATTCCAGGACAGCCAGGGCTATGCAGTGAAACCCTGTCTCCAAAAACAAACCAAACCTTTTTTTTAAAAAAAAAAAAAAAAACTTTTATTATTTAATAGTAAAATAAAATAGAGTAAGATAAAGCAAAACTAACACATTATAGTTGGAGAAGACAAACAAACAGAAGGAAAAGATCCCAAGAGAAGGCACAAAAATCAGAGAAACACTAAACTGGAAGTCGTAATATATATGTAGATGAATGGGTGCAGACCCATGCAGACCTTGTGCTTGCTGCTTCAGTCTCTGAGTTCATATAAACTTTGTTCAAGTTGATTTAGGAGCCTTGTTTTATTGGTGTTCTCTGTCCCCTCTGGTTCTTAGATTCTTTCTGTCTCCCCTTCCCTGGGGTTCGCTGAGCCCTGAGGGGACAGATTTTTCTAGAGACACCTCATTTAGGGCTGAGTGTTCTAAGGTCTCTGACTCCGCATGATGCCTGCTTGTGGATTCTATTAGTCAGGGTTGTCTAGAGTAATGGAACTTACAGAATGCATATAGAAATTGGAACAACTTAGGTCTGTTGTCCAGCTAATCCAACAATGGCTGGCTATGAACAGTCCAACTGTTGGTCAGTCCACAAGGCTGGGTGCCTTGTCTGGTCTTCATTTCAGTATATGCTGGAATCCCAAAGAAGTGGGCTCCGATGCCAGTGACGGAATGGCTATACTAGCAAGGCCAGGGCAAGGACGCACAGCAAGTGAATGCTTCCCTCTTCCATGTCCTCGTAAAGGTTTCTGGCAGAAGGTGTGGCCCTGATTAAAGGGGTGGCAAAGGGCAATACTAGAAGTGCATTCACCTACTTCAAACCAAACAGAAACAATCAGTCTCTCACGGGTGTTCCCTCCCATGGAACGAATAATTGTAGTTCATTCCAGATATAGTCAAGTTGACAACCTAGAATGGCCATCATGTGGGTCTCTGTATGCATTCCCATCTGCTGTAGGAGAAAGCTTCTCTAATGATGGCTGAGCAAGGTACTGATCTGTGGGTATAGCAGAATGTCTGGTTTTTGATCCCTCAAGTGGTGTTGGATATGGGTCCCATCTCGTGGAGTGGGCCTTCAGTCCAGTCAGGTATTGGCTGGTTTATTCCCACAAGCTTTGTGCTAGCAATGCCCTAGCACATCTTATAGGCAGGACAGGGCTGTAGATCAGAGATTTGTGGCTGGCTTGATGTTTAAGATCCTCCTTTGGTGGTGTGCAGGGTACCTTCTTATACCAAGGATGCTGGAAGATGGGGGTCAAGGCTCTCTATGTAGGCACCAGTTAGATGTCTTTGTGTTCAATGAGTTGTGTAGGTGGTATCTTCAGCAGTGGGCCTTGCAGTCAGTTTGTCTTGGCAACAGCCTGGATTGTTTGAGGATTCTTATGGGATCCCTTTTGCCAACAACTCAATTAGATGTAACCCAATCCTGGTACTGGAAGCTTATTTTGGTGATAAGAGATAGCCAGTTGGGACTCTGTCTTCCCCATTATTTGGCAGCTTCATTTGGATCACCTTCATATATGTATATATTTTAGGAAGCTTCTACTGTCTTAGGTTTCCATACAAATGACCCTTCATCTTTGCTGTCTCTCCCTGTATTCCCTCCCTCAACCTCCTGTCCCAGCACTCCCCACCCACCCATAGCGATCTCCTCTACTTCCCTTTCCTGTGCCCACTGGTCCTTTATACATACCCTCTGTGGTTCTGTGAACTTAGACCAGCATTCTTAAGCTGCTGCTGCACAAAAGCCCTATTTCTGTCAGTCCTGTGAACGTGAGTTCCCTGAGCGCTAGCCTGGACTGTGAGAGAAGAGGCCACTTGAATGTGTCTTGGTGTAGAGTGTGTAAAGGTCTTTTTGTTAAAAGTGTGAGGGCCGCTTTGTGTAAGTGGCAAAGCCTCAGCAAAGTGGCCAAGGGAAGCTGAAGTGGGTAAGGTAGGTAAAGTCAGGGGTGTGGGATTCCCACCGCAGAGGGTAAGGAGGCAAAGGCCCTGCTTCGTAGTCTGTCACTGCTCCAGGGCAGTGCGATCAGCTCTTAACTCCCAGGCTTCTGGAACACTAAAAAAAGCCTATAGCTAAACTGAGGTCTCCATTTGCCATGCTTAGAGACAGGGAACTGCTTTCAGCTCACGTCTCAGAAGAACTCTGGATCCAGAATTATTATAATCTAGAGGTTTTTGGATTTGTTGTCGTTGCTTCTAATTCCATTTTAGGAACTGGTGAAATGGGTCAGTAGGTGAAACACTTTCTGTCAATCCTGAAGACCGAGTTTGACCCCCAGAACTAAACTGTTGGATGGAGACAGTGAAGTCTCAAAAGTTGCCCTCTGACCGCCACACATGGGCTGTGACAAAAACACAGACATAAATAATATTTTTTAAATTGCATTTTATCTATAAGGTGAAAGAGGCAGTAATTAAACTATTAAAGTGCTTCTTTTCTCTTGTTAGTAAAGGAAAAAGAATTATAAGGGTAACTATTTTACTTTTTCCGTAAAATAGATGTCCATCTAGATTTGGAAGAGCGCCTTGCAAAATTTATGAGGACCGAAGAAGCCATCATTTACTCGTATGGATTTTCCACCATAGCCAGTGCCATTCCTGCGTACTCTAAAAGAGGGGACATTGTTTTCGTGTAAGTGCCTACACCCACCCTTCTATCCAGATTCCTTCTGAAGCAGCACTGTGCTGCCGGGCTCAGCAGGTCCTGCACTGCATTGGAAATTACCTCCTAAGGGGAGAAGGACTCTTCTGGGGTTCTTTGTTTTGGTTTGGTTTTTAACTGTTTGGTTTCCCAGGCCCAAAGCTACAAGACCCTCACCAAAAGGTGCGCTTGACAGTGATATTAGCCATTCTCCTGGCACCATGATTGTTTCTGTTGGTATCCAGATGAGGCTTGCCGTCTCCTTCCCTGTCAGCTCTGTGGCCCTGCCATGCCCTGCGTCATGATCACAACCTCACATTGCTTACTGTGCCTGGCAAAGTCACCCGCCCCTCATCACTCACCCTTCTTATTCTCCAGGTCTCTGCTGATCCTGTCTCACTGCTTAGTAAGGATGTAGGAGCTGAAGCAGGGGCAATGGCTCAGTGCTTGAGAGCACTGGCTACTGTTGCAGGGGACCCAGGTTGGTTCTCAGCATCCACATACCAGCTTACAACTGTCTGTAACTCCAGCTCCAAGGTATATGATACCCTTTACTGACGTCCTTGGATACCAGGCACACATGTTATATATCTGATCAGACAAACACGCGTGCACATAAAATAAAATAGAATAAAGAACCTAGAAACCATGAGTGGGGATCAAGTGCACAAACTCGGGTGAATTCCCAGATGCATGGTGTGGCTGTTCCCTGCGAGGGGAAAGCGCCGGCCATGCAGATTGTGTCAACAATTTCCAGCATCTTTGCATTCACCATGAGGTTTACAAAAACATCTCTTCATTAATATAAGCTGTTTTCAAATGATTTCAACTTAAGTATCATAAACATAAGACTGAAACAAAAATAAACAAGTAAGGAAACTGCCCATGTATTCCTTCCTCCCGTTTAAATGTTTTTTCCATTTTTGTGTATGCTTGTATTTGAAGTTCCTAGGTTGATGTTTGCAATTACCCTGGGTTGTTCTTCTACTTCTTCAATGAGGCAGGGCCTCTCAGTCAAACCCAGATGTCACTGATACAACTAGTCTCACTAGCCAGCCTAGTCTGGGACACTCTCTTTACAGGTGTTCTGGAAATCCAAACTCCAGTCCACAAGCAAGCACTTTAACACTGGACCGTCTCTCCAATCCTCATTTACATTTTTGGGGTATCATATTTGCAGCTTTCTGTGTTGACTATCTCAGCCTACTAAAATAGTTATTATTTCAGGGTTTTTTGTTCTGGATTAAAATTATTCTGAAGATATGAATGGTTTGTACTCATTGTTTACAATGTTAGCATTTCTGTCCCTGTGCAGAGCTCAGGAGATCTGGGCGACATAGATTCTTTCTGCTCTGGCTTGTCTGGGATCATCTACATCCCCTTCACCTTCTCATCCCTTCTTTACTCTTCTCTTCTTTTTCTTTTGGTATTTTGAGACAAGAGTTTCTCTATATAGCTCTGCCTGTCCTAGAACTTGCTCTGCAGACTAGGCTGTCCTCAAACTCACAGAGATCCGCCTGCCTCTGCCTCCTCAATGGTTAAAGTTGTGCGCCACAACCACCTGGCAAAAGAAAGATCTGTTGTCCTGAGAAGTTCGGTCTTTTTGTTTGTTTGTTTGTTTGTTTTCTTTTCTTTTCTTTTTTTTTTTTTGAGATTTCACCTTCATTTCCTTTTTTTAAATTAATTTATTTTTGTTTTATGTGTTATTTGTGTTTTGCCTACATACATGTCTGTGTGAGGGTGCCAGATGCCCTGGAATGGAGTTACAGACAGTTGTGAACAGCCATGTGGGTGATGGGAATCAAACCCAGGTCCTCTGGAAGAGCATCCAGTGCTCTTAGCCACTGAGCCACCTCTCCAGCCCCGCCCCTTCATTTCTAAATGATAGCTTTGCTGTATAGAGAATTCTTTATTGGAAGTTTCTGGAAGTTTAGTTTCTCCTTCTAATTGAAGACCTGCACTGCTCTGTCCTGGCAGTAAAGTTTCTGTAGCAAATTCTGCTCGAGACTGAGAGGCCTTGAGAATCTCACTTTTACCTCTTTGCAATGTGCTTCCAGCAAGTCTTGATTCCAGCCATCTGTTTTGCCATGACTGTTGGCTTTCCTAGACCTGTGCTTTGGTGGCCATCTCTTTGGGAAGTCCTCTATCCTGATGGCATTCTCGGGTCCTTTTTGTCGCCAACCTTCCCCCACCCCCATTGGCGTAGCTATTTGCTTTTTAAGGCTATTCCAAAGCTCCTGTGAGCTACCTTCATCACACCTCACTTTTCTCTGCAGATAACTGTTTGCAAATAGTCTGTCCTTGAACTCAGTAATTCCTTCCTGTATTTGACCATTCCTGATGTTGATACCTTCTACCGATTTTTTTTTTTCACTTTGTTTGTGGGATTTTGTTTTGTTTTGTTGCTCAAAGAGTTCTGTGTTTTTGTTTCCTCTTCTTAGGTGCCCATATTAGAGTGCAGAGTGGTTTATCTGTGCTTCCTCTGAGCTCCTTGGCTTTCCTTAGAACAGTTGTTCTGAGTCTTCCCGTGATTCCTCCTATGAGTCCTCCTGTGACTCCTTCCCCTGAGTTTTCTTGTAGTTTCTTCAATACTGATTACAGTGTGGTCAGTTTCTGGCACCTTGTTATGATGTAGTGAGTTCGGGGGGGCGGGGTGACGTTGAGGTTTTTTGTTGTCATTTGTTTTTAAAGATTTATTTATTATGCATACAGTTTTCTGTCTGCATGTCTGTCTACAAACTAGAAGAGGGCACCAGATCTTATGACAGATGGTTGTGAGCCTCCATGTAGTTGCTGGGAATTGAACTCAGGAGCTCTGGAAAAATAGTCAGTGCTCTTAACCTCTGAGACATTTCTCCAGCCCCTTGTTTTTTTTTTTTTTTTTAAGATTTCTATTTAATGTGTATATGTACATGTATATATGTGCACAGCATGTGTGTGCAGTGTCCACAGAGTTCAGAAAAGGACATCATATCCCTTGGAACTGGAGTTAAGGGTGGTCACTAGGCACCATATGCTGTTAAGAATTGAACTCAGCTCCTCTGCAGAGCCACAGTGCTCTTAATGGCTGAGGCAGTATTCCCACCCCAAGGTCTTAGTTTATTGAAGGCTCTTGATGCTGTTGGTGTGAAACTTCACCTGGGCACTGAAGGAGTCATGATTCATCTTTTCAAACTGACTTTGCTGGTGCCTCTTTCTAGAATGAGAATTGTGATCCACAAGACCAGGCTTACCTCAAGTGGGCTGATGTAGCACTACTCCTTGAACACTAGAGGGCGATCCAAGCCCAAATTTGTCACAAATTCATAGTTGGTAGGTTGCTTAGGGATGAATCAGGAGTCTCTAGGCCCAGGTGTCTTGTCCTCATAGTCACTGGCACTGGCATACCTACAGGATTCTGTCCACTATGGCAGAGTTATTGTAGATAGATGTACTCTACCTACTGTGCTACACTTGTACCACCAGTAGTGCCAAGTTATGTGATACCATAAGGCCCCAAACCTGCACGTCTCTGGGGCACACAAGAACACAACTGCTCTAGACTAAGGGTGATGTGGGCTCCTGGCCCATGGTCAGTGCAACTGGCATGGGTGATCCTGACTGTTACAGAGGTCTCTTACACACTGAGATATCCTGTACCAGGGAAATTTCTGTCCTTAGACCTGAAGGTGGGCAGGGGATGGGGGGAGTTAGTGACTTCCCTGCATTATATGTGTCCCATTGACACTTCCAAGTCGTGTCTCTGCTTTTCTTGTTGTTCCTCCATGAATGGAGTCTTGTACCATGCTGTAATGGGCGAAGGCTATCCTTTGGCCATCTAGACATATGCTGAGTGGCTGGAACCAAGTTGGATTGTGCATGCATTTGACAGCCTTGAGAGCCTGCAGAGACTTGGGGTTTCACTGTACCCCCTGTGACTCTTCATTTGGCCTTACCTGTTTGAGTTTTGCTCACTGTCTTTAACCTGTAGATTTAAGGTTTTTCTTTTTCTTTTTATATTAGTATTAGGGGTTTTAGCCAGCTTGTTTGTGTCAGCTAGCGGTTCTAATGTCTTTCTCCTATGACTCCACTGACATGAATGTTAGGTTGCTTTATACCTCTACCTCCCAAGTCCTTGGAGCTCTGCTTTCTTCTTTCCTGTCGGTTTCTCTGTCTCTCTGGCACACACTGACTCGTTTCAGTGTCTTTCTGTTCACCAGTCCTTTCCTCTGGCCCGCTGTGCATCTTGCTGGTGTGGAGAACGCTCTCTCCACAGGAGAGGATTCTCTGTAGCTTCTGTTTTGCTCAGCTTTCTGTTTTAGTCCCTTGTTTTAGGTGTGTTGGTGTCATTCCAAATGCCAGGCACGTTCAGCCTGGACTCCCAAGGGTGTCAGAGTTTCTTCATTGCTGCTGGGTGATAGTGACAGTCTTGATTTCCCTTGGGTTTCCTCATCCAAGTGGAGAATGGGGGGAGCCTCATTGCTACCCTGTTGATAAGAAGTTTGTGTACCTAGGAGGGATGCAGCGTTCCATTACAACAGCCTTTCAGAGGCCGACAGCTTAGGTCTTCACTCGGCCTCAGCTGGTGTGAGTGAGCTTAGACCGTTCCTTGTGCTCGTGTCTGTAGTTACGTGCTTCCAGCTGACTGCCAGTGATGCATCAGTCGGGTAAACAGAGATGCCACTGACGGTGAGGTCACCAGCGTTCTGCAAAGTTCTTAGAAAGAGGAGCATGTGAGTGAGCTCGGATGCCAGCCACAGCATGCATCCTGGTTCAGAGAGGTCATGATGTGGCCAGCTGTTTTAAGTAGCCACGTGGAAAGGACTTGCAGGCTGAAGAGCAAACAGTGGGTGTAAGTGCTCAAACACACTCTATGTGCTGTGTTTCAGGTAACGATTGGAGGCTGGTCGACAGCAGGTCGATGTACAAAAGCAGGCATTCTTCTTCTGAGAACGTTGACAAGGCCCTTTAACCCCAATTTGGTGCCTCTCCCCCTTGCAGGGACAGTGCGGCCTGCTTTGCTATCCAGAAAGGATTACAGGCGTCACGCAGTGACATTAAGTTGTTTAAGCATAATGATGTAGCTGACCTGGAGCGACTGCTAAAAGAACAAGAGATTGAAGATCAAAAGGTACGATCCTGTTGAAGAGCATTGTGCAGCTCTTTGTGCTTCCTAAGCAGCTAAATTATAGATGAAATGGTAATTTGTCACCGAAAACTGGCCTGCAGATCACATTTGGATACTAAGTAAGGGGGTTCCTGCTTATTAATGTATTTCAGATTGGAGAGCCTTGTCGTATTTGGGGGAGGTGTTTGAGGTAACTTTCTTTGGGAACCGAGGGGAGAGAAGCAGCTTGCCCTTGAGGAGACACAGTACTCTGAGTTCTGTGTAGGAGCTCTGGAACATACCAAGGCTGTAAGGAGGTGCATAGATTAAATTCAGAATATTCTTATTCTATCAAATCTTAAGCCCTCCTGAAGCTCCAGACAGCTGCTGCCTGTGGGGAACAGCCTCCCTGAAGAGGGGGCGCCTGGAAGCCTTGACTACGCCTAGTGGTAGTGATTAGGCAGTGTCTCCCTGACATGGTTGGAGAGCTGCACAGAGGACACGTGTTTAAAGCATCATGGGAGGATCCTGACTTACCTTCCGGGCAGTGTGGGTAGGAAAGGCCGAGATGGTGGTGCTGTGTGGCTCTGCAGCAGGACCTTGTGATGTGTGGCCTGTCCTGGGAGCCCGGTTGTCACATCTCAAGCCCCCCTTTCAAGTGGACTTTGCCCCAACAGCTCATTCATAACTAGAGTAACTGATGAAAATGCTTACTGCCTTCTTTGATTTTTGTATTTAGATTTTTCTAAACATTTGGATTATTCACTCAGGATTCTGTCGTCTTTGTTTAGGAGTCAGCCTGCGTGATACTTGGCGAATATGCACATTATCATGTTGAATATGATGAACTCACCTTTGAGTGCTCAGAATAGTATCAGCCATGTTCCATATTTACACGATTAAGAAAAAGCTAAAGAAATTCTGAAATTGAGACTGTTTCACAGATTTAATTCTTTCAGCAAACGAGAAAGATGACCTTAATCTGATTAAACACTCGATCCCAACCACCAGAATAAACAGTGGTTCTGAGAGTGTGACTGCGGAGTCAGTGTGCTGGATCTAGGCGCTGTAATACTCACATTTCATGTGTGTTTTCCCTAAGATAATCTGTGGAGCTCCTGTGGGTAACAATCAGAAAGCTAATTATGTATCTTAGAAATTTAATTTCACTAATTAATTTACACCTCATTTTTCTGCCAGGAGTATGCTATTAAATAACTTCACATTTAATATTAGAAAGTTCTTCTTACTTGAGATGCTGTCTTTAGAATATAAGTAGAACTTATATCAAAGATTGGCACGTACTAACAATGTGATGTAAAAAGCAAAATGAAGGCAGCAGCTTGCTTCCAGCACTGAGCATGGTGAGGAGGCAGTATGCTCCCAGAGGGGATGTCTCCAGCAAAGCCGTGTTGTCACAAGCTGGAGAGATGCCTCCGTGGTTAAGAGTACTTACTGCTGTTCCAGAAGATCCAGGCTCATTTTCCAGCATTGTGACTCCAGTTCTAGGTGTCTCATGCCACCTTCTTCTGATCTGTGGGCATTGCACACATGTGCACATGCATATATGCAGGCAAAACATTCATATGCATAAAATAAACATAAATCTTTTAAAGGAACAAAGTAAAACTGTTTTAAGTAAAACTGAGAAATGATCATAATGTAATATTTTTTAAAATACGATTTTAAAATTACTACAGTAAAATCCTGATTTTGAAAAAGTGATGCGCACATGAATATTCAAAAGAAAGACGAGCTATCATTGCATAGCACGACTAACCTTTAGTAGCTTCCATATATACTTTTGCTCATCCTAAGTCTCTTCCATTGAATATTTGGAAATCCTAAGCAGGTACTTGAATTGGTAGAACACTTAACTAGTGTGTGTATAAAGAAGCTCTGCCCAAACTAAGGGAACAGGATATCTTTTCAGAGGGAGAAGTCAGAACACTGTGTGTTGGCATGCAGGTGTCCTCTTTCCACCAGTGATTCTGACAGGTCCATGCTGCCTTCTAGAAATGCTGTGAACCGCAGCATTCAGTGGCGAGTCGCGCGAGACCGGCAACCTCTGTGATGTATGTCTGCAGAGCAGAAGTGCTTCTGTGCAGACAGCGGCCGCTGGTCCTGAAAGGCCCCATAGCATTGTTGTGATTAGTGATTGGAGCACAAGTAAGAAATCTTTGAGTAGGAATGTGGGGATGACTTCTAACTCTGATTTTCCAGCCTGTCACACCTGCAGCACCTTCAGGTTCTTAGGTGTGATAGACTCATGGCCTTCTGTACACGACGCGGAAGAGGACACATACTGTCTGAATTAGGCTGCTCTAGTCTACCACCTTGTATTTGATCAGACAAGGTCACATTTGGATTTTACCTGACTCACTGAGCAGGCAAAGCAAACGAGGAGTTGGTTATATTTTGATGGGGAGGAAGGCTAGAGATTACCAGCACACAGAGGAAAATACAGTAGTATAACACGCGCGCGCGCGCACACACACACACACACACACACACACACACTATGCCCCTCCCATACTGTTATCATCAACCTCCCAGGACACTTGCACCACCCATGCCTCTCCATGCTCCTCAGGCCACACCTGTGGTGGTGGTAACAATGGTTTTCATTCATTTGTAATTTTTTCCCCTTTTACACTGAACTATGTAAATCCTAGCTGTGTAATTTTTAATGTTTTCACTCTGGAGTCTGTGCTTCATCATTAATTTCCCTGGGCTTTCTCCCAACCGTCCCCAACTGGGACATTGTTTAATATTGTTCGGGCACCTCCAGTGGTGTGTGAGGTCATCAGCTAGAATCTGCCTGAGGAAGGAAAGCTGCTTTTTCTCACAGTGTTTCTGTCAAAATAATAGGATCTGAATTCATTATGGCCTTCTCCCCCTTTTAAATAAATCCTTTGTGAGGTACATGCTCTTTGGAGTAACAATTTGTATTTGGAGTTATGACAGTTAAGACATCTTGTTTCTTAAAGAATCCTCGGAAGGCCCGTGTGACGCGGCGTTTCATTGTCGTGGAAGGATTGTATATGAACACCGGAACCATCTGTCCTCTTCCGGAACTGGTGAGCAGCCCCGTCAGTCCTAATTTTAGTGTGCTGATTATCTGCCAGTTAGACCTTTCATCTATAATCATATTTAAAGCATGATACCTGGGACACAAGGTTGCGCAGCAAAGGAAGGTGCTTGCGTTTTGCCTGACCTGAGTTTGATCCCCAGAACCCACAGGGTAGAATGAGAGAATTGATCCATGAGAGCTGTGCTTTAATTCCACACACAAACTATGGCATGCACACTCATGCACAAATAAATAAGAAATTTTTATAAAAATTAATAAAAGTATGATGTGTTGTTGTCAGACTTTCCTTTTGGGTCGCCAGCCCCCAAATAATGACATGGGACTTGTTTTTTTTTTTTTTTTATTGAGAATAGGAAAAAAAGTTTCCGCCTCCACCCAGCCTCCCATTTCCCTCCCCCTCCTCCCACCCCTCTCTCCCCCCCCCCCCACTCCTCTCCCCCTCCCTCTCCAATCCAAAGAGCAGTCAGGGTTCCCTGCCCTGTGGAAAGTCCAAGGTCCTCCCCCCTCCGTCCATGTCTAGGAAGGTGAACATCCAAACTGGCTAGAACCACCAAGCCAGAACATGAAGTAGGATCAAAACCCCTTGCCATTGACCTTGGCTTCTCATCAGTCCTCATTGTTCGCCATGATCAGAGAGTCCGGTTTTATCCCATGCTTTTTCAGTCACAGCATGGGACTTGTTATTAATTATGAAAGCTTGGCCTTTAGCATAGGCTTGTCCCCAACTAGTTCTTATAACTTAAGTTAACCGTTTGCTTCTATTAGTCTACATTCTGCCAAGTGGCTTTTTACCTCTCCTCCATTTTGTATGTCCAGCTTACTTCGTGTCTCGCTGGCATTTGCTGCACTCCTAGATTCATCCTGAATTCCTCTGTCTGCCCGAAAGTCCCACCTCCTCTCTCCTGCCTAGCTGTTGGCCATTCACCTCTATTAAACCAATCAGGTGCCTTAGGAGGTTAGGCAAAACACAGACACAGCTTCACGAAGTATAAACAAATCTCCTACAACAGCAGTGGTGCACACCTTTAATCCCAGCAGTCAGGAGGCAGAGGCAGGCGGAACTCTAAGTTTGAGGCCAGCCTGGTGTGCAGAGTAACTTCCAGGACAGCCAGAGCTACAAAGAGAAACCCTGTCTGGAACAACCAAATTATTATTATTATTTTCATTATTATTATTAATTTTATACATGTCTACAATGTGTCTTGATCATATCCACCTCTGACTTGTTTTTTTTTTTAAAAAAAAAAGATTCTCAGAACAAAATACAGATATGTACACATCTAAAACACTAGAAGCTAAAAGATTTTCTTCTATGCCCAATGACAGAGAAGAACAAGCCATCCATGCCTCTGCCCGCCTGCAATACCTGTGTCCTAGCACTGAGCAGACTCAGACGGGAGGATCAAGTCTTTAGGCCACCCTGTTCAGCATGAAAGTTTTAGGCTAGCCTGTGTTACTGAGTGAGATCCCTCTCTTATAAAGTAAATTAATAAATAAAAGTAAGAGGAAAACAGAAGAATGAACCATAATAATAAATATAATAGAACTTTTTACATTCAAACATTTCTGCAAATCCAAAGTAAAATAACTACTGAAAAAAACCACTATACTTCCCAGGAATTTTTATATGTAGTTGGACAAGTGTTTAACTGAGAAGTTGTACATCTGCACACATAAATGTCTTAACTTTTCCCTTCTGAAAACTAGGTCCTGTGCTGTCTGTTTCTAATCTGGGTCATTTCAGAGATTGAAAGGACAGTTGGTTCTCATTATTCAGTCAGTGTACTTACATTCTGTAAAGGTAGCACACACAACGACAAAGGGACATAATGGTGAGCCATTGCTACTGGGCTCCTGTGAGCTGTGGTCAGAACACAGCTGGTTTGTGTGTGGTTCTAGTACAGGCTGTTGATTGATTCACACTGGACTCTGCCCACAGCTCTCTAACTCACGCTGAAGGAAATTTCTCCAATGTCCGTCCATTTTCTGAGTGCATTTCTCATCCTTTCTGCATCTGAGAATACTTGAGAGCTCATTAGCAGGGACAGTGTGAGCAGCAGAATCTCTCGTGATGGCACAGTGTTGTGAAATGCATGCTTCTTCAGAGGACAGTGGCCTCTGTCCTCAGCTGCGAGCACCCACTGGCAGGCAGCTCACTCATTTCTTGACCACCGCACGCATGAGCCTTCTGAAGGATGGATGAGTGGTTATTGATTTTAGAGTCATAGATTTTAACAAGTAGGTAAATTTGCAAATGCAGAATTCATAGATATTGAGAGTCAACTGTCAGTACTTTTACAAGTTTAATTTTTTTCTACAAAAGACCTTCTGTATGTTGTTAATGGTGGTGGTATTAAGTCCAGTTTTATTTATCATCTAGGTTAAGTTAAAATACAAATATAAAGCAAGAATCTTTCTGGAGGAAAGCCTTTCATTTGGAGTCCTTGGGGAGCACGGGCGCGGAGTCACGGAGCACTATGGGATCAGCGTGAGTTCTCACTGTGGAGTGGGGGAAGCTCTCCCCTGTAGGAAGCCTGTCAGAGGCATGAGAAACAACCTTTAATGAATCCGAGGCTCCTGGGGCTTTGATGTCTCGGTGGATCTAGGCAGCCTAGTCAAGGACCATATCCTCCCTCTGAGATTTTTGTTTACCTGGGACAGGGATAAGTGTTGAACTTGACTCTTCATGTTTTGTGTTGTATTATTAAGGTCACTAAGAATTTCCTTAGGAGCTGGACATGGCAGCACATGCCTGTAATCGCAGCAGTTGGGAAACTGAGGCCTTCATGAACTATATAAAAAGATGCCCCACACAGAAAGCAACAACAAAAAGGGTTCCTGTAGTCCTTTAGAAGACGGTTTAGTATTTAAATTTCTCCATATAATCTGTGGAAGTACATATGTACAGTTGCACCATATATATATCGTTTGTGTAGGTGACAGTATGTGTGTACATATTAAATATATAATTGTGACACACACAATATATGCTATCAAAAATACTGCCAAAAAATGGCTTCAGCAAAGCAACTAAAGCTTAAACAGTTGGGATAGCATTGGCCCCTTTCCTTTCACTGAAGAGAAATGGAGCCACAGAGACCAAGTACCCTGGCCTGTGCTCCTGGTGCCTCAGGCTGGTGATAGGCACCTTGCTGGCCACTATAGGGTACAGTTACAGGGTGCCTTTTCTCCAAATGTGGGTGGTGAGTTTTGCTACATGTATGACCGAGTTGATGGTAAAATGCAAAGTCCCTTTAGTTATCTGCACCCCAGCACTGCACTGCCCCAGAGTAAAGCGACATGAAGTTAGCTGACAGCTGACATCAGCAGATGGATGTGGGTAGGGGCGGAGTGAATGTAAGGATTGCATGGAATTTACTGAAGGAAACCTCCATCCCTAGAGGGCTTGATGGGGAATTGCTCTCTGTTTTTCCTGGCAGATTGACGACATTGACCTGATCAGCGCTAACATGGAAAATGCTCTCGCATCTGTCGGGGGCTTCTGCTGTGGCAGGTCTTTCGTGGTTGACCATCAGGTGATGCTTCGATGTCAGGGTTTTTGTCTTGCCCAGTTCCTGCAGTCATTAAGTCCCAAAGAAATCACACAGAGTTCTACATTAACTATAAACTGATTGGCCCATTAGCTCAGGCTTCTTATTAACTCTTATAATTTATATAGCCCATTATTAGCCCACTATTCTTATCTGTGTTAGCCATGTGGCTCAGTACCTTATTCAGTGGGGCAGTTACATCTTCTTCTGTGGTCGGGTCAGGACTGTGTCCTCTTCCCAGAATTCTCCTGTTCTCATTGACCCACCTCTACTTCCTGTCTGATTGCCCCACCTATACTTCCTGCCTGGCTACTGACCAATCAGCATCTATTTAAAATATAATTGACAGAATACAAACCATGGTCCCACACCACTTCTAGAGATGAAGCATAGTCACACACAATTGTCCCCACTGTCACTGCAGAATGATGTTTCCAGTACAAGCTTTATATACACTTTAACTCATAATTTACCACACTGTTTTTACTTAAAAGCCTGTTTTTTTAAAGCATAGCTCAAAGTGTTTACAGATACATAAGGACCCTATCTCTAAGACAGCATCTTGGGTTTGTTACACTGTCCCTCAGCTGCCTTCCTGGTGCACTCAGTGTGCTTGCTGTTCAGATGCCTGTGGCTATGTAGTAGCTTCCAAATGTCTCTCCAGAGAGAGATTACCTATTTATTTTGTTTCTCCTTAGCGGCTCTCTGGCCAAGGATACTGCTTTTCAGCGTCATTGCCTCCCCTACTAGCTTCTGCCGCCATCGAGGCCCTCAACATCATGGAGGAGAATCCAGGTACAACCTTGTAATGTCTGGTTCTGTTAATTGTGGTGCCAACTTGCTTTCTGGAAGAATTAGCACTAGGGAATTGTTTATCAGACAAAACTCTAAATTACTTTTAAAATCATGTCCCCTAATACAAAAACTAATATCCAAACTTGTTGAGCACAGGTGCTTCAAATTCAACCAATAGTCTTTGAAAATGTTCCAAAGTCTGAAACATCAAGATCCGAACCATGCCTCACCCCAGAATTTAAGTGGGTGTTCTTACCAGTGCCTGACATTGTGGGAAGGTGGCGGCAGAGAAGCCACCCCTGCCTCAGGACTGTGCATGGAGCTTTAGCTCTGAGTGTGGTGCTGGAGCCAGAGTGGCTGGCTGCTGCTCCAGGTGGCAGTGCCAGAAAAGTGAGGACCAGGGTCATTGCCAGTCCTGGGTGCTTCCCCAAGTGTGGTGGCTGTCGTTGTTTGGTGTATAGTGTTTGGAGAAGCTGGCTGAAGTGCTCTGAGGCTTAGTGGATGTCGTTTTCTTTCTTGTTTTCCCCTTCAGCCTTTGAATCATTGATTAATTCAATGCTAGCCTGTTTTGTTACCAACAACTCAGTGGGCAAAATAAAAGTCAACTAAGGTTTTTGTGAATGGCCTTTGACTGTAATGGTGCAGCCTTTAAGATGAAAAGTGGGTCACCAAGATGTCTCAGCAGGCAAAGGTGCGTGCTCAGTGACCCTGGCAGCCTGAGTTAGGCCCCCCAGAACCCAGATAAAGATGGTAGGAGAGAACTAACTCTATGAAATTGTCCTCTGACCTCCACACATGCCCAATGATGCATGGCCACCCAAGCCCCCCACGCACACCAATAATGAGTCATTTCAAGAAGTAGGAAAGAAGAGGCCTTTCCTAGCCATCAGTTCTGAATCTCCAGCAGAGATGTCTGCTCCCAGGGTCAGATATGACTCATGCACTTACGCGCACACCAGGAGGGTGTCAGGCCCCAACTCCCAGTCACATGGCTTTCACTTTGAGCTTTTCCTGAGTAGAGGAAAACATCCCCCAAATTACTTTACGTTTTGAGTTGAGACTGAGTAAATGGCACCCTGAGAACTTAGCGGGACTGTGCAGATCCTGATAAGGACAAGAGCCTGAGTTGGGTTCAGAAGCCATCGTCCCTGGTCTGGCCAGTTGGCAGCACCAGTGAGGAGGAGCCATTGATGATGTCAGAAGCCCAGACCCTCAAGGTGTGGTTGCCGAATGTCTGCTCACGTCGGGAGCATTCACAGTGTTTCAGACTACGGATGGGGCGTGTAGAGGAAGTTACCAGCTGGTCCCACCAAACGTCCTAAGTAGCCATCACCCTTTTTCTATGCAGGCATTTTTGCAGTTTTAAAGAAGAAATGCCAACACATCCATGAATCTCTACAAGGGTGAGCATTAACACGCGTCCTCCCCCCACTCAGCAGCACTGCAGTTCTGAGTTTTATGGGCTCTGGAAGTTTCATCCACACTACAGCCAGAGAAGCAAAATCTCAGTCCAGGCCGCTTTCATATAACTGGACCAGCCATTTGCTGCTGCCGTCAAGACAAGGCCTTGTTCTAGAATTCCATGGCGTGTAGTGGGCACTGCTCTCAGGGGTGACCCAGGAGCACGTGGTTTGTCTCCCCAGAGCGAGGGCGGCACTGTGCTGTGTACTGGACAGTCCCGAGTCCTACTGTCCATGCTACCCTTAGTAAGTTAAAGTTAGTCATGAGTGGTCTTTTTTTAGAAAAAAAAAATGAAATCTTCAGGCTGATTTTGGTTCCACAGGAAATGATCTCTCATTGTTTTAGATCTTTTCTGGGGATTCATTTCATCCTGAGAGGAAACCTGGGCCTAAAAACAAGGCGCTGAGCAAAAGCAGCCAAACTGAAACAGGGAGCCCAGTTTCACACAGGCCTGCATCCCAGCTGTGCCCAGGAGCTGGATAGCATGGGTGAAAGGGAACCTGACTGAGGACCACTCAGAGCTGCCGTGCAGCTCATTCCAAAAGACAAGATTTACCAGAAGGGAATCTGTCCTCTTCCCCGACAGCAGGTTTCTGTGTGTTACTCTAAGAAGAAAATCTTAAAGTGCATAAGATGTAAAACAAATCACACAGATAAGACAATCATGCCCCCTAAACCTATTGTTGATAGCCAAATATAATATTCTCACTTCAAGTCTCTATGACATTCTGAAGCCTATATCAGGCAAGGCAGTGTGACAGTACACAGACCTGCAGGGAACCAACAGGACAAGTCATAGGAAATGGTGGTATACGTCCTGCTGGAAGTGGGTCCCAAGAGAGGTCCCTCCAGAAAGGCAATGTGGTCTGGAAGTCAGTTGGACAGCGTTCTTGGGAACAAGAGAGCAGGGTATATCTGGTGAAGAGATCGGGGGACCAACCCCAGGGCTGAGGGGCTGTGAGAAGAGGGACCTTGTAAGGCGAGCAGCAATGATGCCCAGACTCACAGGAGACTGAGAAGGCCACAACATCCATGGACAGGAGCTTTCAACCACAGGCCTTTCCTGGACTGGGAGGCACTGCCCAACACACAGCTTCTCAAGATGGAATCCTGCCATGCAGTGTAGCTCCTTTCCACATCCCCAGTTCTGCTGTTAGACCAGGGGCCTTGACAGGGCTGAGTATTTATCTGTTATATTTTCTGTATGGCACTGGGGACTGAACCCAGGGCCTCACCCATCTAGGCAAGCATGATGCCCTGAGCCCCGACCCCTGCTCTGACAGTTACACTGTGTGTGTGGGGGGATCTCTGTGAGCCTGCAGGGACCCGATATCATGTTTGTTTGTTTCTGCAGCATTTCTGGTTTAAAAGTGGTGGGGGAGCCCCTGTCCCCAGCACTTCACCTCCAGCTGGAAGAGAGCACTGGGTCTCGGGAGAAGGACGTGAAGCTGCTTCAGGAAATCATAGTTCAAGTAAGTGTGCCCTTGTGTAGTGAGCACCACTACTCACCTCGTTTCCAGGAACACCTCCTTGCCGCAAACGGTGGGGTGCGCCAGGAGGAGATGGTCACCAGGTCACCCTGCTGAGCTCACATGGTGTCTGAAGTGCTGGCTAACAGTCTTCTCTCCCCTGCGTCACTCACTCCTGAAGTTGTAAACCTGCTGCCTCCTGTGTATGTCTGTGCTCAGCTTCTCTCCTGAACAGCCCTGCAAAACACTCTTCCACTCAGCATCTGCACCTTCTGAGCTAAGGTGTCTCTCTTGTCATCCCCAGGCTGACCTGATATTCACTGTGTAGTTAGGCTGGACTTCCCACTCAGATCCTCCTGCCTCAGCTTCCTGAGTGCTGGGGTTGCGGTGTGAGCCACTGCTCCTGACCAAACTCTTTACTGAGTTTACCAGTGTTTAACTTTTTGTTTTTATAAATTACTGCTAAGTAGTTGGCTCTGTGTGCTCACTGCACAGTTGCTTGGCCCCTCCTCCCAGCAGTAGCAGCCTTCCTGGCGCCTTCCTGCCTTTTTTTCAGGCTCCTGCTCCAGTGTGCTACAGAACTCCAGTGTGCTACAGCTCTGGGGATGTTCACATCTGGGGTCATGCAGCCTCCCTGTGGAACCTGGCACGGGCCCTTTATGCCTTTGAGGAGGAATAAAGGTTTCATTGCACCCTGTTACTGCCCTGAGACAATACCACTGGCTGGTCACATGATATTCAGTGTGCAGCTGGTATGTCAAGACCTCTAGTGGTTGCTTAAGCTTCCTGGGCCATCCTTCATTCTACCAGGTTTTAATTGTGTGATCTGGAGTGAGTCTGTGCAGGGCTGCACATGGTAAACAACCTCTTGGCCTCCACTGTATTAAAAACAAAAAAGCAGAATCTAAAATTCATAATTAAGGACACATGTCAGAGCATGATGATCAGGCCGGCAGTACTTGCCTGACTGAAAAAGGACACATCACACACAGGCTCAGCTCTGCAGGCCTGAGGAAAGACAGACTTCCTTAAAGGGACAGAGCATCCCTCTAGCTTTTCACTACCTCAGTGCTTTACCCTAGTGCTTTCACATCTATATATAGATGTGAAAATAAACTTGTGCTTGGAGTTTTTTACACAAAGGTGAAAGAAGATGCACACACTTAGAAGAACTAAACAGACAAGCCAGGGCAGCTCGAGTGAACTCCACTGCATCCATGTGGCTGTTGAGTCTGCTGTTTTCAACAGGATTGCTCGCATTGGAGGACCACATCAGTGGACACAGAGCAGAGGCCCTGTAAAAGCTATATGCCTCTGTTGGGGCCCATGAAAGGAGCCCATTGTTTCCTGTCTCCCCTGGCCTGTGACCTGTGCACTGCCCATGGTTGGAGTGACCCTCATGGCAGCACATCTGCTTTTTATTAGCCCCACCCTGCTCTCTTCCCCAGCACAGGGAAGCTGCCTTTCAGAGACCTGGGCTCATGTGAACGCAGTGGACACGAGCAGACTGCCTGCACAAACCTTCTCAGAAGAAAACCTAAAGATGGGCCCTGAGAGAGGACTCAGTGTGTTAGTTACTTTTCTATAGTTGTGGTAAACCCCCACGACTACGACTGCTTATGAGGAAGTGTTTAATTTGCGCTTGCCATTTCAGAGAGTTAGAGTCCATAATGGTGGAGAAAAGGCACAGTGACAGCAACACCTGAGAACTCACATCTTAATCCACAAGTGGAGGCAGAGATTACACTGTGAATAGCAGGAATGACCACACCCAGTGACATGCCTCCTCCAGGAAGCCCACACCTCCTAATCCTTCCCAAATAGTTCCACCACCTGGGAGCCAATGGGTCTGTTCTCATCCAAACCACAACACTTGGGGCCGTATGGATCTGATTTCAGTCGCTCTGGTTTTAAGCCGGTCATAGCAGCACATACTTGTGGTCTCAGCATTGGAGAGCTGGGCCTACCTGGTAAGCATCAGGCCACTGAGAGACCCTGTCTCAAAAAGGTGGATGGTATGTGCAGAGGAACAGCCAGGCTGTCCTCTCATCTCCAGACGCACACACACGTGTGCATACACAGGAGTCAAATAATACTAAGGATGCAAGGCCTTGAACAGTTCCCAAGCTCATGTGTGGGCTGCAGGCTCTTACTTACATCACTGGCTATCTTGGGAAATCATCCTGTGAAATCCAGCCTGGAAGGAGAGCCTCATAGCTTCTTCACAGCCTCCACTCTAAGTCTTCCCAGCTCCTGCCCCTGCCCCCCCTCCATATTTAGAGAAGGAGTTGGGGTACAGTAACCTGCATTACCCTTTGCAGACCTGAGAACTTTTCGCCAGGTTTATGTTGAGTTGTTGGTCAGGACATTGTTTTCACAACAGCTCCGGTTTGTGATGTCTCTTAACCAGCCAGGCTAGACACACAGCCAGGCCAGATGTCCAGATGATGGCACACTTCCAATTTCTCTCCCTGGATCTGAAGTGAACGCATGGCTCTGATGCCATCTGCATGGTATTCCATCTTTCCTTGAAGCTTGTGGCCACCTTTCTTTGGGATGATGCTTTTACTGATGGGCAGTTGAGGGACTCAGCCTTCCCTTGTGCATCATGCCTTGCACTTAAGTGTGCACGTGCACCCACAGGGAACCCTGGGAAGTCTGCCTTTCAGGGGCCTAGGCTGTATTCACGGGTTCTGCAGCTCTCACTGTCTCATTCCAGAACTTGCCCAAAAGGAACTCTGTCTGTACATACTGCCGCCTCGCTCGAGAGTCTGGGCTTCCTGTGTACAGTGGAGGTCTTTTCAGTTAGACAGGTAATCAGTGGGTGCCTAAAGCACAGGACAGCTCAGAACAGTCGTTTTCAGTGCCAGACTCTTGGGACCTGGGAGCACTTTGCCAAGATGGAACCATGGACGGTCTCAATGTGGCTGCCCTCCTACAGTTGCTCACTGAGGCAGTCCTGCCAACACTGTCTGCACATGGGCCTTTGCTCCTGGCCTCCCCAGGTCCTCACTCTATGTTGTGTGAAATGTTGTCTCTAGCTTCTATGTCTATGTAACTGAAAAATGGGTCAAAGTGTGTAGAATCAGATTTGCAGTTCTAGGGAGCCAAGTCTTTTCTCCCAAGTGTTCAGACATCACACAGGGTCTGTAGCTACCGGACTCCATAGCCCAGCACATCACCATCACAGAAGGTCTGAGTCCAAAGGAAGGATTCACCTTGAGAGTCCAGTGGGGGCATATGTGCTTTGTCTCCTAGAACTCTGCGTGGAACTATGAACAGCCCGTACTTTGAAGGCAGCGTAGATCTCTGCACTGTGGTCTGAGTCTGGATTGTTAATACCCCTTTCTCCCTGCAGTGCATGAACAAGGGCATCGCGTTGACTCAGGCACGCTACTTGGACAAGGACGAGAAATGCCTTCCTCCTCCAAGGTTGGTTAACGTTAAAGCACAGATGTGTTGGGAAACATTACAGACTGTTGTGGGATAAGAATGTCCTTATGGTACAGCACATTCATGGGTTTGCTCTCAACTAGATGGGTTTCATTTTCCCTGAAGAGCATCTCAGGACCGAGTGTCCTCCTAGGTGACTGGCAGGGTCGTCTGGAGACCCAAGAGTGAACTAACAACAGACTCTCGGCGACTAATAACAGCTGGAGTCCAACCCTAGCTTGTGCTATGGAGACACTCTCGAGGGAGGGAGCAGCCTGGATGTGGTCACCTTCCTAGCTGTCCTGGTGGGAGTCTGGATGCATCATGCTGTGGACCCCAAAGCTACTTCAGGACTGCAAAGCAAGGGGGAGATGGGGATTTGCACATAGGCTGTTGAGACACAAGTCTGCCCTCAAAATGCCTACGCTGTTCAGAGGAAGTGCACACCCTGACACCAAAGTCCTAGGTCAGAGGTCACAGAGGAGACTGGCACGATGGAGACTTCCTAGAAGAGGTGACACCCTGACCTCGGAGAGTCAGTGCAGACAGTCCCTAGCTTCTGATGGTTTCCCCTCAGACTTGCTCTCCTATAAGCATTTGATTGCTCATGTTAGTAGGAGTCTCATATCATGACATATAAAGTCGAGTTGTATGTGACGTTTCCACGCTGTGGGTTAATGTCGAGCTCATAGGTCTTACACTGCTCTGGCTGAGTGTGTTAGCTGGATGAGATTTGTAGAGGGTTTGTTAGCTTGTGTCCTACCCTGGGCCAAGCAGTATCTGCTCAAGAGGACCCTGGTGGGCACCATGGTCTTCAGCAGATGAGACACTAATTGTCTTGGGTGTGCAGTGGTTGAAGACCTCCAGGTACAGCCTGGAGCACAGAGAATAAGATGCCATGGACCTGGGCACAGACTCCCTACTGGGTGGAGGGGTCTCACATGCAGAAGGCTTCATCAGGACTGAGCTCACTCAAGAACTGCTCAAAAAGAGTTAAAGTTCCAACTCTGTCCTGTCTGTGTCCACCGTCCCTGTGCTTCTTTGCTTCCTTGTAAGTGCACAGGGCTAAGACAGGAGACACACTTGTTCCGTGTCCTTGGTGGCCATGCCTGGTGCTTAAAGCCAGTGTTGGCAGAGGACAGGAGGAGCGTTGCCTCATCAGCTTCTGTTTCCTAAGGAACTTGAACATGTCTGCTTTTCTCTCTGATGTGGGCATTCCTGTTTCCAGCTGAATTAGTAAACAAGAGCAACCAGGCAGTCACTGATGTGAGAAATGCTGACTTCTTGCTTTGGGGCAGGACTGCTTAGAGTGGTAGGTTGTTCAGAGGACTTTCCCACTGAGACTGGGAAGCACAGTACAAACCCTCGGACTTGCAGATGAGGGGGACGGCCAGGAGGCATAGCTTCTGCCCATGGCCACAGAGATGGTGTTAGGCTGCAGATAACCTCTCACAGCTACTCGCTGCTGCTGCTGCACGGTAGGAAAGCAGCGGCAGGTGGAAGGACCACAGGTGGACTTCCAGAAGAACCGTAACAGTCTCCAGCACTGGCATGTGACCCCACCTCACTGTGTTTTGTCTTTCTCAGCATCAGAGTTGTGGTCACAGTGGAGCAGACAGAGGAAGAGCTGGAGAGGGCTGCGTCCACCATCAGGGAGGCTGCCCAGGCTGTGCTGCTGTAGGCTGCAGCCCCATGCTTCCTGCCACATCGCCTGCAGGCAGAACTGCTTGGAGACCTCCAGTGGATTGCTGCCCCGTGGTGCAGCTGTGGCTTTAGTACACAGCCTTAATCAATGGATGGATTTGTTTGTAATGCAGGAGCTGACTGTAGAGGAAGGCAGAAGACAACGTGTAACTGTACAGTGTGCCATTTGGTCTGTTTGGATGCTTTACTCTCTGTCATGTATATTTGTTTAAACTGGAGCTTCAGTTTTCCTCCTCCCGCCTGTGGTAATGATTTGATAAACACTCCTTCGTATTTCATAGAAAAGGACGTAGCATCTAAGAGGAACTCGGCGGGTATCACAGTTACTGTGGGAGAGGGAATCCGCTGAATCTTCCCAAGTCCCTCAGTGGTGACTGCTTGCGGAGAACACTTCCTGCGAGTTAGAAATTTCATATAATGTATTTAATTTGAGAACCTTCTATGCACTAGTTATTGATGTTATCGTTTCTGAGCTTCACTAACTGAAAATATTCATAGTGCTTCCTAAGCAATAATCTGAATTGAACATTTGTTTATTTTTGTGTAATTGACTTTATATTTTTAATATTTTCTCGTCAGTCTTGGGAAGAGGATTATTCTGGTCCCCAAATATGAATCATGCCCTGGGCATTTTTGAATATGTCAGATGTCTGTTTCATGGTGATTTTGTCCAGGAGCACAGAACCGTGGGCTTTTCCTAAGCTGAGGAAAATAAGAACTTCTTTCATCCTATAAAGTCCAGATGCCTCAGAAAAACAGGGATGCTCTGAAGGTGACTTCCGAGCTGCACACTGGCAGCTGTTCTCCTTGGCGAACATGCTGAGTGTGCCACGGAGCGTGTGCGTGGAAGGCCGGAGCGTGTGTGTGGAAGGCTGGAGCGTGTGCGTGGAAGGCCGTCATTCCTTCTCTTGTTGCACAGACAGAGGAATCAGGTCGTTTAAATGTCATTTTATGATGTGCATCCATGTTAACGGTGGATCGGCATCTGTTTAAGTGATCTGTGACATTTTGAATGTTTCTATTTCATACGTGCCTTGTGATTGCTGCTGCTGTGAGGGTACGGTCCTGTCGGGGATGGGTCTGCTCTGTTTGGTTTTTAGTGAAATAAACCTCCAAGAGCCTATTCCTGAAAATGAGTCTGTTTGTATAGCAACATGCTCAGTTCAACCTTTCTGCAAGTCTGAGGCACTATTCATTTTCCCTGTGTGGTTTCCTTCTGTTTTAGAAAATAATTTAGTTTCTTAGTCCCATTTCCCTGCTCAACCAAAAAGTGTATACTATTTTAAAGTTCTTAGGTTGCTACTAACTTAAACATTGGTTAAGGAGGACTCTTAAAATGCTAGAGCAAGGGTTGGACACTTAGTTCAGTGGGAGAGTACTAGCAAGCATAAGGCCCTGGGTTTGGTCCTCAGGTAGGGAAGGAAGTCTGGATGAGGGAGAGGACACAAAGCTTTCAAAGACGTTTACAAACAGCAGTTACTTCTGTTGTTGGGAAGAAGGGGTCCAGAAACAATGGGTCAACATAACTCCTGGCTACCTCTTCCAGTCGGTGCACTCCCTCCAGCTTCAGAGGGCCCATATAGTACGAACAGGAAGTTGTAAGTTCAGGATCACTGTCACCCCCAGATCAGGCCCAGCTAGTGTGTGAGCTTCAGGCAAGACTTGAACAGACATCTGTTCACTTCAGACAAGACACCAGCAGAAGACCGAAGAAGCTAAACTGTGGTGCACAGGTCTCTAATCCCAGCACTCAGGAGGCAAACATGGATGGATCTCAGCATTTGAGGCCAACCTGGTATACACAGGTAGTTCTAGGATAGCCAGGGCTACACAGAGAAATCCTCTCTCTCTAAAATAAAAATAAATAAATAAATAGAAATTAAAAAAAAAAAAAGGTGGGGGCTGGAGAGATGGCTCAGAGGTTAAGAGCATTGCCTGCTCTTCCAAAGGTCCTGTGTTCAATTCCCATACAGTGCTCTTAACAACTGAGCCATCTCTCCAGCCCCCAGTCTTTTTTTTTTTTTTTTTTTTAATCACTTGAAAACCTTGCCTCTAACTTGTGGTGTTTCTGACTGCAGATCTTCTGTCGCTCAGCTAGTCTTCCTCTATAGGTACTGCATTCATCTCGGGCTGTTTAGAGATGTTTGTTTAGGTTGGTTGGGTTGGTTGGGTTTTGGTTTTGTTTTATTTCATTTTGGTTTTGGCAGTTGCATCACTCTTGTGTTTTTGGTGTCCATTGGTTTTGGTTTATCCTATTCGGCTTTGTTTACCCTTAGAACTCTGAGGTTTTTCGTCTCTGGCCAACTTTGAGAGACTGACAGACACCATTCCTTTGGGAACCTTCGAGCCCCAGCTTCTTCCCACTTTTTTCTGGAACTCTCTCTACACGTGCGGCTGTGAGGTGGTCTAGGTGTGGGGGTGAGACTCCTCCAGGCGGCTAAGGCTCTCCGTGTCTGGTTTATTTTCCCTGTTTTTCTCTGGTTTCCAGATGCATCCTGCAGAGGTCTTCATGTTTTTCGGTTTCATCTCCTGCCATCCCCACTGAACACCATGTCTGTCCAACACGTTTTTTCGCTTCAGTTGCCTTTCTCTGTCCGATGATTTCCATATTTTACAGTGTCTGTTTGTTTACTGAGAGCTGGGCTGAGACTGGTTTTCATTTGTCTCAAGGGAATCTGTTGAAGCTTTCTTACTGCGACCCTTTCAGTCCTTGGAAGTGATGTCAACGTGATTCATTTCAGGGCTTGCATGGGGAGGTTTTGGTAGTTGTTTTCCTCGTTAAACGTGTGGTGCTCATAGGACCAGTGGCTTTCATTGTATCCCGGACATGTCGGCTCTTCTGCTCTGGGACTCTTGCTGGGACTTGAGTCTCCTGTGTAAGCAGAGGCTCAGCTTTCTGGAGCATAGACTGGCTTCTGGCCTGCATCTGCGTCCCGTGCTTCTAATGCCAGTTGTGTCTTCCCACTCTCGTGATGTTGCTCACTGGCCTACTTTCTCTGGCGTTTCTATGGCTCTTCCTGGGCCTCTGGTGTTGCTTTCTGGCAGAACAGAAGTTGCTTCTCTGTCCCAGCTGCTATGTGGCAAGGCCACCTTCTGCCATGGCAGATGGGAGGAAATGAAGCCACGGGCCTGCATCCCCTCAGGCAATTAGACTCAAAGCAAGGCAACAGCCCCTTTGGTTCTGCTGTCTCAATGGCTGTCTGGCCCAACAGCCAGTTACCCAATTCTGGAGAAGGGATGGTCAGCCCAGTAGGGATTCGAAGACTACTTGTGCCCTGTTGTGGGGTTGGGGAGAGCTCTCCATGTGATTTTTGCCTTCTCCTCCTCTGTGTCTATCAGGTTTTGGGTATCTTTGCCCTCTAGTCTGGAGTCCTCTGGGAGACAAAAGGAAAATGTGGGCATTTGAGACCTTGTTTCACCTGGATTCTAAGCATGCTCATGGGTCTGCCTTCTCTAGGTGCCCAGAGTCTTGTACCATTGCCCAGGGATTCTTCCCAGGGTGTTTATTTCTTTCTTTTCATTCTGCTTTTTTAGATGAGGTCCAATCTGTAGTCCAGGGGGACCCTAAATTGTGATCCTCCTGCCTTAGCATCCCAAGTAATAAATAGTATGACTGTAGGCAGTCATAGGCCACCATACTTGGTGTGCAGGTTTGTCGTGATATTTCATTTGTATTTTAATAAATAAAGCTTGCCTGAAGTTCGGAGATTAGAAGAGCCCCATTGATTAGCCTTACAGACCAGGCAGCACACATGCCTTTAATCCCACTAGCCACACTAGTTTGCCATAGAAACTGAGCAGTAATGGTACATGCCTTTAATCCTGGCACTAGAGAGGAATATAAGACAGGAGGAGACAGCTCTCAGACACAGTCTCATTCTGAGATTCCTGGAGGCAGAGTCGTCATTTCAGACTGAGGTAAAGGTAGGATACAGTGGCTGGCTGTTTTGCTTTTCAGATCTTCAGGTTGAACCCCAATTTCTGTTTTTATTAATTCTGCTACACAGGTTAGTTATATAAATGTCAACTTGCCATAATCTAGAATTATCTGAGAAAAGAATCTCAATTGAGTTACTGCCTAGATCAACCTGCCTAGCAGGAGGCAGACTTAATTGTTAATTGACGGAGGAGGGCCCAGCCCACTGAGGGCAGCTCCCTTCCTTAGGCAGACTGTCCTGAATTACCTAAGCAAGCTAGCTGAGCGTAAGCCAGCAAACATCACCCTCCATAATTCTTCCCTCATTTCTTTGGCTGTGAAGTGGGTTCCTTGGTCAGAGGTAATGGTGTATGGCATAGCAAGCTGGCCTGCCCTCAGGTGCAGCCTGGCTTGGGTCCCAGAACCCCGACTAGGGGTAGCAAGGGAATCAAGAAAGTACAGATACACAGGCAATAGAGAAAAGGGGGATCAGCTGGGGTGTGCACTCTAATGGAGAGGTAGCTACTCAGGCCACAACCCAGAACAGTTGTGGGGGACCCACCAGAAAAGACCACTCAGACTGGGTTTCAAGCCAATAGAAAGTCTTTATTAGCCCGCTGGCGGCTACACTGGGTGTTATAGACCTGAGTGAAGTCCCCAGCCTTTCTCAGGATGGGCTTTTAAGAACAAAAACCACATTATGAGTTTACAAACCTCAGTCAGCAAGAATAGTTAGCCAGAAGCTGAATACAGAAGCAAGGTCAGTACGTTCAGGCATTTTGCCAGAACTATGGACTTTGGTGGATTAGGTCTTTGTCCTCATCTTGGCTGGTGGTTCTGCCTTTGTGCTGGTTTCCAGGGCTTGAATGGTCCTTACATCATGGTGTCAGTTGGGCTAAAGTCTGGGGGCCAGTTACAGAACTTCGGTGTGTTTATTAGGTTCAGCACATGGGGAGGGGTTCAGTAGTCTTGGGAAGAGATCTCTGTGAGTGAGCAGCTTCCCTCTGAAGACACCCCATAGCAGAAAGCTGCACTTGCTAATTTTTGTTCACCCTGGCCAAATATTTGCACTCAGAGCCCTGAGGGAAGCTTTGCCGTCCTCTGAGTCTCACCCAGGGAAGGCTTTGCCGCTCCCACGGGGCTGAGGCATTGGTGTCCTTTATGTGGCTGTACTCGAGTGAACAATACACGCCCACTCGGGGCTTCACACACTCACAGTTGCCTCCACTCCTTCCATTCCGGTTCCTGCCTTGACTTCCCTCAAGGATGGGATGTGGCCTGGAATTGTGGGTCAAATAAACCCTTCCTCTCCCAAAATTGTTTCTGGCCAGGGTGTTTGTCATAGCTGTGGAAATGAAATGGGGACACTCAGCTCAGGCTGTCTTCCTAACTGTGCATGGTTCTGTAAGTGGGACTGGACAGGAACCTGCCGTCCATGTTTCCTGAACCAAGTTTCTCCTGTCCCCAGTGCAGACTGGACTCTGATATCTGTGAACTGAATGAACCAACAGGATGGTTTTCATTCTCGAGAACGTCAAGACCTTAAAGTTTCTGTCCGGCAGACGTCCCTAAACTCTTGAGTGAGTGCCTCCCAAACATGTAAGGTTACGTGAAATCGTCATGTTGAACAGGTGACCTGAAGGCGGAAGCTTCTGTTGTCAAAGGGTTAATGGCATTACTTTCAACTTAAGTCCTCTCCAGACACCCCAACATCCATCACGCTATGCACCCCATCTCACAGTCCATCCTCCCATCTGTCTGTCCATCTCTCTGTCTGCCCGTCTCTCTGTGCCTTGCTGATCAACTTGAAGAATTTTTTTCTGTTCTTTGAAAGGATTAACCCTTGTTACCAACTATCCTGATATTTTTATCTGCATAGACCAGCCAGTCCCCCTAGCTGGCCTGCCCCCAGAAAAGATGCCGGGATTTAACATGAGACATGCTAGAGTAATCTCACTCTTCATGGCACTGGGGTACAGTGACAGAACCTTGGTGGGGTTTTAATATGCCTAAATGCCCAGATTCCTACTGACTTCACCCCGACTCTCATTCCCTTTCCTCTGTAAATGTTACAATGACTCTGAGATGTGACTCTTTCATGGCAAACGTTTAAGTGAGGCGGTAAATAACCTTACGGTGCACGGCCAACCCCTTGGTGTGGGTTTCACAAAGGATCATACCAGCTAGGGTTTGCGTTCCTAAGTCTG